ACACGTGTGACGATATTGACAGGAAAGCCAGAGGTTTTCTATGGGGTTCTACCAATGACAGTAGGAAGGTGCATCTGCTTTCCTGGCAAGAAGTGTGCGTTGATAGGTCGAGAGGTGGGTTGGGTCTTCGTCATGCCAATCTTCTAAATAAAGCCTTTATGATGAAAGCAAGTTGGGGCCTTATCAAAAATAAAGATGCTCTCTGGGCTAGAGTGATTAGAAGCAAATACAAATGCGGTAATGATCTCCCCCCTTCGATTGATGTTGAGCGCTCGGGATCAAGTTTCTGGAGAGGGATTCGAAATAACTGGAACAAAGTCCATCAGGCAACGGAACCCACTAGACTAAGAAATGGGGAAGATACGGTGAGATGGAAACCAGAGATAAATGGTCATTTCTCTTTGAAGTCAGCCTACAACTTACTTACAGAGGACGCTCCAACTCTGAATCCAGTTTGGAAACGGGTTTGGAAGATGAATACACCTCAGCAATGTAAAACCTTCCTCTGGCTCACCTTACACAATAAACTCCTTACTAATAGTGAAAGAGTTCGTAGGGGCATGAGCATTGACGAAGCTTGTAGCAGGTGCCAGAAAGCGGAGGAGACTGCTTTGCATGTCTTACGGGACTGCCTTGAAACTCAGATGTTATGGAACGCCGTTATCAAACCATCCATGAAGTGACCCTTCTTTAATAAGAACCTATGGGACTGGTGTGTCATGAACCTTAAGCTTCAGGTCGGGTTGATTGAGGAAGGATAGAAGGAACGGTTTGTAATCATCTGCTGGCTTCTTGGAAGTGTAGAAATGAATGGGTTTTTCAACAGAGCATGGGTAATATTCATCGCATCATTCTTCAGGCTAACGCCATAATGAGCAACTTTCTACAGGCTAAATCTAATCTCTAGCAAGTGTCACTTCGCGGAGTGCACGAAAATCAGTTCTCAATACATCTTTTAGGTAAAACAGAGGTGCTGGTAGATGGAGCCTTTAACCTATCTTCCAGGAAAGCTGGGGCTGGAGGTATTATTAGAGATCCTAACGGCCATCCCATAGAGGCCTTCATGATTCATTTGGGAGATGGTGACCCTTTGTTTGCAGAGTTATGGGCATGCCTTATGGGGTTACACCGGGCTTGGGACAGTGATCATCATAAAATCGTACTCCGATTTGATTGTGCTGATGCCATCACACTCATGCGAGATGGAGTAGATGAGCTTCATGCTCATTGGAACGTCGTTCTAGAATGCCAATCTATGCTCGAGAAACTAGGAAGTAGAGCTACTTTACACCCCAAGGGAGCTGTTACGTACCGCAGACTTCCTCACAAAGGACGCATTGTCAAAATCCCCAGCACTTTACTTAGTGCCGCCTGGAGATTTCTTTTTACTTCTGCTTTGAGTTTTTGTTGTAATCTTCTCTCTTTATTAAAAAAAAAAGATTTGGTTGTTAATAAAAACACATTAATATCGTGCGATCTATGTAACTAATCCCACGTAGGGAGATAAGGTTTGTTGTTATATATTGTTATTATTAAGGTGAATGGGGGAATTTTGTTCAAAGGACCCTTTACTAAACACAGAACAAAACCCTCAATTAATTCGGTCCAGAGTGGGGATTTTTTTCCCTCTCGTTCTTTATGTTTGGTGACAAAAGGTTGTTGACTCTTGGCTCTCTACAGTTGGGGCCTTGTTTTTTGCCTTCTCTTGTTTCTTGGTCGTTTCGGTGTGTTTGTTTGTTACTCCTAAATTTTTTTTGCTGTCAATTTTGTAATGAAAGACTATTATAAAACTACACATACGGATATTTATCTATATATATTCAACTGTACAAATCAATATCAACAAACATTGTTTAAGCCATTGGCGACAAATTGAATGTTATTTCTTTGGCTATTGGGATATTTTTTGGGCTAGTGCATCTAGTTGAAGTTTTCATCATGTGATCAAAGGGGTGTTGATGGGCCCAAAAACCCGCAATGTTCGGTCGAGTCCACTAGAATTATACTCATTCCTAGTCTTGAGAAAGCAGTTTGAAAAAACAATTGGGTATTTTTGAGTCAAGCCAACTGTCTGGCAGGGTTAGGGTATAGGCAAGATATATTGCTCTACCCATTCGGCCTTGTCCAAAGTTTTATATATATATATAATTCTATTTAATAATAGATATTCTATTTATTATATATAATTGTATTTAATATATATATGATATAGTTATATATATATGTGTGTGTGTGATAGAATGAAATATTTCAAGAGTTAAGTTGTTGACATATATGATCATGAATGTTGTACGAAAGACCTGTGTTATGTTTGATTATATAATTAAAAGGAGATATGAAATGATAAATATGTGGATTTTTATATGGTGTTTATATTTCTTTTCTTGAAATATTTTAAGTTGTGAAATTATAAATTATATTTAAAGTCCAAAACATTACTCATCAATTCAGTATAGATGTTTACATAATATGAATAAGGTGTCATTATCTGGGCAAGAAAGCTTGTCCTATCCAACCCCATCCAAAATTGCTTCAGGCTTTCATTAGGTAGGGCTAACATCTTTCGGGCTAGACATTGAGTAAGGATCTTGCCCTATCTTACTTATATGCACTCCTGTCTGTCTTAAATGTTAGCCATACTATGTTACTGTCAACTCTACTAATTCTATGACACTCATCTGGTTCTTAATATAAAAGATAATTGGAAGTAAATGTTGATTCTATATATAAGACATATTTTACATATATATCAATTTTTTTAAGTTAACCCTATTAATATTCCCTAACAATAATCAAGTAGGAGAAGGATGAAGGGAATTAAAGAAGATGCTTAAAGAGTTTAAAAAAAATCATATTAACTAATTTAACCAACATCTTTAATCAACTCAAATTAGTTAATTAAATCTTATACTTTAAGGGTCGGAGGAGTACTTTCTTTTTTTGGGTGAAATTTTATGATATTTTCTCTAATCATAAATGTAAGAGTTATTAAAAGAGTTTGTTTTGACTTCTGATTATAAGATTCTATTCCATCCATTTATCTTTTAAATTTATATTATATTTCCCTACAATTTTTCATATTAATTACATTAATTAAGGATGATTTTCATTATTAAGGAAGTAGTGTCTGATACAAATGATTAAAAAAAATAAAATCAACAAACATATTTTTTTAAAACTAATTTAATTAATTTTTAATTTTTACAAATTAGTTATTTAGTTGATACGTGCAGGATTAAAGAACTACCATTTAGAACATATTATGATTTTTTTTTTCTTTTTAAAGAAAGGCCTATTGAATGCAGATGGAACGTAGACATTTGATAAGTGAAGGAAATGTTGAAGGTGTGAGATTAAATGGAATGACCAACTAGATTTAATAATTTTTGGATTTCGTAAGTATCTACATTTCCTTCATCCTTTTATTTCGAAATATTATCGAGTTAATTTGTGACCAAGAAAATTGTAGAATTCATTTTCAATCAAGAGTAAAGATTCTATAAAGTTCAGATTCAAATAAGATATGAGTCACATAAAAGTACAGCAGTTTAAATAAAATTATGAGCTTGAGGTAATTGTTCTAGATCAACTTGTGCTTATAAAGTCTAATAATTTATATTTGCAATATTTCTTACTGTGTGTAATTGATGATTGATTGTAATGCCTGCGCAAAATAAATACACCAACGATTTATGTATATTGAATATTATGATTAGTCTGTAATATGAGAAATTTGGGACCATATGAATGAGAAATGTTGGATGAAAATAACAGTTAAGCAATCTTTGCAAATTTTTTGGAGAAAAAGGGGTAATAGACCAAAAATATGTACTTGACGCACGTGATATCCTGGTATCAGATCAGCGTCAAACGTTATACATGATTCATCAGATCAAGCAAAGCATTTATGCATTTCATCACACAAGCATACAAGTTTACTAGCTTTAATTTTACTAATTCTTCTTTTTATTTTTTTATTTTTGACCATTTCTGGTTCATATGATGCTTAGTCACTATACAAACTAATCACAATTCTTCTTCTTCTTCTTCTTTTTTTTTGGGTCAGAAACTAATCACAATTCTTCACACACACACCATTTAGGCATTTACGCCAAGCGTACGTTACAATCAAGTATTTATAATATTCTTTGTTTTAAATATAGAATTATTTTGTACGAAAATTACATGTTTTTAATGTACCAACTTAATTGTTGTTGCGGATTTGAATATAAAAGTTAATTTGATTTTTAATTTGATACTAAATATAAGGCCTCAATTCATTTTGACTTTCATAATTATTTATTCTTTTTAGGTAGTCCTCTAATAGTTACACATGTTAAATATTTTATTAAATAGTAACTCCAGTTAATATACATAATTAGTAAGGATATTTTAGATAAAACAATACTTATTTATTATAAATAATTAGTTAATTAATTTTTTAAATCTATTCAATTCGGTAAACTAGTTCTTATATTAAGTATAAGAGGTAGTAGATTGTAAGATTGGTAACTGGCAATGCAAATTAGGTCAATGAATCGCAATCACTGCCAAAAACAAATAAATGATTAATAAAGCTTATTTGATTGGAAGTTGAGTAATGACGGTACTTTTTCTCTTCTCTTATTTTCTTTTAAAATATAGTGCCCTCAATTTTTGTCCGTTAATGTTCCTTTTTTAAACCCTAAACCCTGCGGCGCCAAGACCTCCAAAGACTCGGTGAAGCAGAGGCGGTTGTTCTTGCTTTCCCTCCTCCTCCGAAAGAGAAGGCTTCTCCCTTCGCTGACACTTCCTTAGGTCGAGGCCTAGCACGCCCTACTATCCACCCTCTCAAAGCTCTTAGTCGTTACTGCTATATCGATTTATTTTGAAGTTGGGTTTATTCGAAGTTTTAGCCTATCCTATTTATCCCGGGACAACTTCTTTCTCCCTGGCCTTGTTCCATTTTACTTTTCTGATTGAAAGTAGCAAGCCGCCCAGATTTTTATTTAATGTTTTGTTACTGATGATTTTCTTTTTTTAGGCCAGGTTGCACGGAGACGAATTTGAAACTTACAATTTATACACACATATTCTTTTAATTACTTACTTTGACCGGACATAGAGAAGTTTTTCAGGTACAAATGGCTATTGACGGCAGTTTTAGCCTTCATTCAGCGGTCGAAAGATTTCTCGACCGTTTTCCAAAGCTTCAATCTTTTCCACAGTTTTATTCCCTCACAAGAAAGGTATAGATTATATTGCATTATACGTGAATTCTATTTGTTAATCATTAAGAAGGCCAAGATAAGTGGCATGGACATAATTTTAATGATTAAATGTACGGTTTTTTCTGCAGGGACACTTGGTTACGGAGGAGGATGTTGTGAATAATTTTGTGGGCGTTTTTCTGCACCCTTCCTATACTATTCCATTAATGGGATGCTTCTGTCCCATTGCCCGAAAATTTACAGATAAAACTATAGACCTGCTTCGGCTTGTGCCAAATTTAAGGTCTAATGTTCAGAGTACTATCATGGAAGATGATTTTGTCAAAGTTTCAGATGAAATTGTGAATGTGATTGAGTTTTATAGCCAACATGGAAGGGGTCTAGATCTTCATGAACTTGCTTGTTTGGCCTTCTGTCGTGCTCTTGACATGGCTCCTTTTCTACTTGGGTTAGTTCTTCCCTGTAATTTTTTGCATGAACCTGTTTTTATTTAATTTTTCCCCCTCCACTCGAACCTTCCAGTTCTCCATGCGCCCTTATTTTTCCTCTATATATTTTTATCTGTAATAATCCTAGAATAAGGACGAAGGAATTAGTGTTAATTATTATTCTCGAAAACTAAGAAATCAAAGTGTCTCTTGATTTATAGGCAATACAATCTTGTGTGGAATCTTGTTAGATGTTAACTGTTAAGTGTCTACATAAGTCTGAAGTTGTTCTAATGTTGTAGCGTATTTTTTTCTTTTTGGTGTGGCAAGTTGGTAACGGAAATTTCTTTGATTCTGGAGTATAAGCGAAATAGTTATCTAATTATATGAGCACACTTGTTCTTAATTATGTTTTTGCTCATATATGCATTGTTTCACGGAAAAAATCTTCTCGATTGCGGTAAGCATATATGTTCAATTGCTTTGATTCTTGTGTTCCCAGTAAATGTATTATTAATTTTTTTGAAGATATAATTTTTTTCTCATTGTTGGAAATAAGTTTTCCAATTCAGCGTTCATTAGAAATTCTGCCTTAAATGAACAAAAATGAAAAATCAAAGGAAAGGGAAAGGGTAGGGAGTACTCTCTTTCAATTACCAAATGTCCTGCTGGAAAAGCATTAATAAGTATCAGGAGTATAACTTCAATAGATAGTTCTCCTTTATTTGGAAATTCACATGATATTGTCTTGGGCAAGATTTGATCTTTGGAGAAAGGTTGGATACATAGTGATGTCTTTTCTTCTATGTATTATTTTGAGTTGTGGTCAAAGATTTTGCTAATTGGAACTTTTCAGCAATTTGGCTTTTCATTAATTTTATTATGATATAGTTTGATATGATTAATTTGGCTGATTGGTGCAGTTCTGTGTTAAACTACTTCAAGTTTGCTCCTTCTCCGTTTCAACGATTTTCGAGGCAACAAGCTACCCCATCAATGGGGGTTAAGGTTGGTAGAAATTTTCTTTTTTTGGTGCACATAATTTTAATCTATGGATCAATTTGGAGTTCTCTCACATGTTATTAACAAGTTGTGTCCGTTTTTTTCTCCAGATTGAAACCAGTGAACTGCTTGTTGCCCAAATATCATACCGTTTCCTCATCATGAAAACTGAAGTTTTCTCGAAGCTCTGGGACTGGTCATGTTTCATGGACTTCTTGGAAGAGCCCATCGGTGAATATGTCACAGCTGAAGCAACTGACCTGATTTGGTGTGGGGTGCAAATAATAACCATTGTCTTCAAATTGAGTTATGGGGCGAGTCAAAACTTGAATATTGGATCAGAACAAGCATCTAAGTGTCTTTTGCGGTTGGTAGTGTTTGCTTTTTTTCTGTTCGATATTGGTGTCAAAACATAGTTCTGGTTACATTACGATCTTCATCTTCTGTTTTCAGTTGGGAAGCATTCTGCCAGGATACATCAATAGAGAAAGCTGGATTGTATTCCAGGCCAGTGGCGCAAAATATGCCAGGTTCTTTGGATAGAGGCATCGGTTTTAGCCAAGAGAACTGTTTACAATCCTTTGGTCTTGATTTTCAGGCTGTTAGCTTGCCGGAGGTGCATGGTGTTGAGCCACCTTGGAGGAGTCCAAAGCTTGCCACATGGTACAGCCTATTTTATTTTGAATTTAACCATTCTTTTATTACTTTTTTCTTACTAGTTAATTTTGATTTTGTTTGGGATTTAAATTGAATAGTATTTATTTGCTTACCATCATAGGGTGCCAACTTTCTCAAACACTTTTTTTGTTTCCCAAGAAAAAATTCTAGATAAAGTAATGCTTTTTTGGTTCTTCACAACTTCGTTAATGTCTTGTAGCTTCTCATTGGTAACTCTCAAGTCTTGCTGATATTCTTTATGTCCTGTGCGGACGTGCTGAATTTTGTTCTCTTCTGTGTTTCAGGAATGATAAATTTAAAAGTAATACATTCATATTGACATCAAAAGTGAAGAAAAGTTTTGAGAGGGTCCTGTTGGCAGTGAGTCAGAAGTGGCCTGTTCTTTTATATGGTCCTTCGGGTTCTGGAAAATCTTCTCTCATTGCCAAGCTTGCTCGGGATAGTAATAACCAGAGTATGTGTGGATCTATGAGCCTTCTTTACTACTAATTATTTTTCCTGTCCTCTTATTCATCTATGAATTGTTGAATGTGTTGAGCTAGAATGTCATATTTTTCAGTATATTCTGTCAATTGTCTTTACATGCTTCATGGGAAATGGTAAGTCAGGACTAAATGTTTACTAGTTACTGATCTGGTTTGGTTGCATTTTGTGGCACTATCTGTTGTGCGCTGTTTGTATCCATGTCACTTGAAGTGATTTCAAGTTTAAACTTTCATGAACAGCAAATAGTCAATATAATGAATTCATGAGAATGTGAGACATTCAGCTTTTATGATGTCCTCTTGGACTTTGCATCTTAGATGAAGGTGTAATTTGTTATTTACTTTACTAATTTACATGTTCCTCAGTCTGCTTTTGTTGTCTGTTTCCTCCTATACTTTGTGCATGTTTGCCGGGCATTGTTGTTCATATTGTGGTCTGGATCTTCACTTCAACAATCTGTATGACCTAATCCTCTTTGCAGTTCTATCTATCCAGATGGATGATCAAATTGATAGTAGAACATTGGTTGGAGGTTATGTGTGTGCAGATAGGCCTGGAGAATTTAGATGGCAGCCAGGGTCGCTTACTCAGGTTTGTTTTCCCTTCTTGCCATATTATCTAGTTATGAGATTGACAGATGTTGTGATGTCAGTGTACACAGTACTTCCTGAGAAAGCATCCTGTTTCATCTTTCTGTGCTATCTTTATCATAGGCTGTGCAGAATGGTTTTTGGATTGTTTTTGAGGATATCGACAAAGCCCCACCAGACGTGCATTCTGTTTTAACACCTTTATTGGAAGGGACTGGCTCATTTATGATCGGGAACGGGCAGGTAGTTTCCTTGTATTTTGACTCCTTGCTGATGAAATGATTGTACTCATTTACTAGTCATGTTCTAAGTGGACTTGCTCATTAGTTTCATTGTAGCTTTGGTCTGTTTAAATTGAGGGTTGGGTACGTACTTCTAGGATAAATTAGTCAGGACTCTGGAATTCATGGAGAATCAGGGTCTTGTTTTTCTTTTTACTTTTTACCTTGGAGATGTTTCTCTCGGTGTATTTTTAAAATGCCTCAATGACTCTGTTCGTTCGGTCGGTTGGAGAAGAGAGCTTGGTTTCCACTGGTGTATTTTAGACCTTTTGTTGTCGCACAAGGGGAAAGGGGGAGTAAGAGAGATTAAGTGAGAAAAAGAGAGCCTCCCATGTTGATGGCAAAATATTCTTATTAGCAGTTCAATTCTAAGGTCTACAAAAAGAGTAACCTTTGGGCTTTTATTTATATATATATTCCCAAATAAAATGATTGAAAATATTACTGATAACAACTGAAACTTAAACTGAGAAGATAAAACCTAATTTCAAATCGATTCTGAGAAAGCTGAAGAATAAAATTACTATAGGCTATTTTTGGAAACCCTTTAAAGAAGACCTTCTACAACTTTTGAGTCAAAGCGTATCAGGTTTAGTTTGTCAGAAGTCCGTTTATCAGAAGTCCATTTGTCAAATTAAAGTTTGGTAAAAGATGTAAGGGAATTTATGTTTGGATGTTATGAAAAAGTCAGTTCGGTGAACTGAATGTTGTTTAAAGAATCCTAGATTAGCTTTTATAATTGGAAAGCAATTGAAATTTGTTCAAAAGCCAAAAGAATTTTTGGAAAGTAATCAAAATTGGCTTTTGGCGAATAGAGTTTCAGAAATATGGCAAATGGACTTTCTGAAGTTAAAAGAAAAATACTCACACAAGGTCTGGCAAGTGCTGGCTTCCCAAAGGGACTTTTGAGAGTCTAAAAGTTGAATCCTAATACTTTTTTTGAGTTTTTTGGCCAACAAGTTGAATCCTAATACACTCTCGCATTGCTTTGGCCAAAATGTGTTTTGACCAAGACCAATGGGTTTCCAAATACAAACTATAGCATAAAATAAATCTGGTTAGGTTTCCCATAATTTCCCCACTGCTTACTTGAGCTCTCCTTTGGAGAGTAAAGCTGGTGATAGGACTCCAACATGGAGGCTTTGATGAATTGCTATTGACTATAATGTGCTATCGGTTCTAATTTCTCTCTTCTCTGTTTCTTCCTCAATTCTCTCTTTCTCCCTTTTACGTCCTGTTTTCTTCCTTCTGCTCCCTCCCCCTTTCTTGCCCCATTTTTTGACATCACCTACGGTACGTTTTGATAGAATTATGTTTATGGTCGATCACTGGTCCATTGCTCATGGCTGCTTTAAGGGCATGCCCATTTTTTATTTGCAGAAGGATTAAACGGTTCCATTGATGCTTTGAGTCTCTATGGCCCCTTTATTTTTCTTGGCTTTTCCCCTTGGAGTGAAGAGACAATGAATGGTCGAGAAACATGAAAGATCTAGTTTATTCAATATTCACGGTGAATCCTGAATAACAGTAAGTCGTGAGATATAGAGCCCAAGGGGTAACTTAAGCTTGCATTATATCGGAACTTCTACTGTTCTACGAGCAAGCAGTCAAGTATAAATCTTCACTGGCTTTGTTCTAATTAAGTGAAATTTAAGCACTTGATAGCGCCCACTCAAATTCATTAGCTAAATATTGTAAAGATAGAAGGGAGGTATTTTTTTCAAAAATTTTTTTAGCATTACTTTCAATTTAGTTGCCAATTTACTGTGCACATTGTATAATTTGTTAGCTTCCTTGTTTCTCTTATAGGAAGAGAAAGCAGAATAAATGTAGAGGTCTGATTAATCAATACGTATTTTAGAACCTGTTGATCCTGTATGCTTTCCTCATACATAGCATCTATGTCAGACCGTTTCTTTCGTCATTGATAATTGAAGCATGAAACTAAATGTGCAGGAAATAAGGGTGGCAGAAGGTTTCAGGATGTTCTCAACTGTTGCAACTTCCAACCTTGAAGCATCCCAGGGTGCAGGTTTTTGACTTTGTCTTCCTCCTATTTTCTAGCCAGATTCTCTATATTTTTGTTGGTGTCCTTTTGTTTTTAAACAATTTGTTTAAGCTGTTTTTCAAATTGTTATACATCTTTGTGGCCCAAAGAAAAAACTTTGGGACATCTCAATGTTCAGTTGTTCATTGCATTATAATAAATCCTTTCAACTTCAGAGTGCTATAATAAGAATGGAATATGGTTATGCAACCACTGTTGTTCAAATATTTAATGAAAATTCTTCAGTTTATGCTTTGTTCCTAAGGTTTTCATATTTACTTTAAATCCTTTTTGATCATGTTGGGCTCTTAGTCCCCCCCCCCCCCCCCGGTTTTTCAATTCTAATGGGTTTAAATTAAATCCTGGATTGTTCAATATGCAACGCCGTCTGCCAAAATCTTCTTTGGAAGATATTACTTTACATGTTCTCTTTGTCTGCTTTTGCTAATTGTTCGTTTTGGGATTTCTCTTATGAATCTGAAAAGGGATTGGATGGTAAGTCTGAGTAAGATCATTGGTTGCTTTCTTCTTCTTCTTCTTTTTTTTTTGGTTGAGGATGATCTTATATCCTCCGTGGTTGGTACCTCTGGACTATTGACTCTTCTCATAAAAAAAGGTTAATTTTTTTTATCTAAAAAAAAAAAAAAAAATGAAGATGGGAGAGGTTGAATGATCTTTAACTCACAAGCCCTCTGTAAATCAGTTATAATAATCCGCCTGCAAATATGGAGTAAGCCCTAAGCATGATAAAAAAGAGTGATTAAAATTATCAAATGGTGTATATTCTTTTTGCTGAAAATCCATCTTTCAATTATGAAGTTAATTCTGAATTTTGTTGTATTGGTAGGTCGAGGTTCACTTAGTGTCCTTTGGAGAAGAGTGATGGTTAGGCCTCCAGAGAAAGAAGACTTGAAAGATATAATCATAGTTTGGTATCCAATGTTGGAGCTTCTTGTTGACAGGCTTATAGGTATTTGCATCAATTTCTGCCAACATATAGGGTCACACATTCTTTCTTTTATTTGAATTTAAAGATAAAAACTGACCCATCGTTTTTACACTGCTATGATTATCTTTGGTAGAAACTTTTGTAAGGGTTAACTCCACCTGCATGCATCAGATTGTGGGTTCCGACTCTGGGACTTCTGCTTCTGTTGATTGCCTCAACAGATTTTCGTTGAGGTAACTAAGGAAAGTATGGCTTTTCTTTGCTCGTTTTGTCCATTTACTTTTATAAAAGTAGCTTTTGATTCTCCATGACAGGGATCTCCTTAAATGGTGCAAGCGTGTTGTGGGCTTGGGGTTTAGCTATGATGGTGGTTGCATATCAGAGTACCAATGTTATTTAGTGTATAAAGAGGTCTGTTTTACTGGTGATCTCTACGTTTTTTGCTTCTGAATTTTTTTGAAAAATTTCAATTACTTGATGTATAGTTATTTTCTTGTATGCAGGCTGTTGATGTTTTTGCAGCCTTCTCAACTTCGTCTAAACAGAGGTTGTCTATAATGAAAGAAATAGCAAAGTTATGGCCGGTGCCAATATCAGCTGCTGAGACCTTGTATCCCCATGACAAACCAATAATTCAGGTTTGTTGGTGACAACAGTATTGACCGTTTCTTATATTATTTGGCAACTTCAGCTTCTTATTTTTGGCAGTGAACTGCAGGATTCTGTCACTGATTTAAGAATAGGACGTGTTTCCCTCCAATACACTACAAAAGCTGTGAGTATGGTGGATTGAAAATTTTTTATAAAATTTTTACAATGAAAATGGTCTCATCTTTCCTTGGCAATATTTTTATGTTATTATGCAGTTACAAGAACATATGCGACCTTTTGTTGAGATCAAAAGTTCTCTGCATGTGCTTGAGCGCATAGCATGCTCTGTCAAGTATAATGAGGCTGTGCTCTTGGTAGGGGAAACTGGCACTGGGAAGACAACTCTTGTTCAAAATTTGGCACTAAGACTTGGTCAGAAGCTTACTGTTTTGGTATGCTTGCTTTTATGTGCTTGACGTTTTCAGTATTCCTTATATTTGAAATTCGATTAACAGTCAGACTGAGTGATACACTTTATTTCAGAATTTAAGTCAGCAAAGTGATGTTGCAGACTTAATAGGTGGATATAAACCTATGAATGCACAATTTGTTTATTTCCCCCTCCATAAGGAGTTCAAGGACCTCTTCTCCAGAACTTTCTCTGTGAAGGTATTCCTTTTATCAAAATATCTGGTTAGTTAGTGTATAGCTGGAGTTAAATGTTTCTAAGTTGTTTGTTTCCATTCAGGAAAATATGAACTTTCTTACGCAGCTAGAAAAATATCTAACTGAGAAGAAATGGAAAATGCTACTAAAAGGATTTCGTAGAGGAGTTGACATTTTCCATAAGTCAGTTGAGCTTGAAAAAGCTGGGTCTAGCAAGAAGCGTAAAAAGCCATTGGATGAAGAAAACATCAAGGCTTGGGAAAGATTTTCAATTAAACTTGAAAGTGCTTGGTGTAATGATCCATCTTCAGGGATGATGTTTTCTTTTGTAGAAGGAAGTTTTATTACTGCACTTAGAAATGGTGAGTGGATATTGCTTGACGAGGTGAATCTAGCCCCTCCAGAGATCTTACAGAGAATTATTGGGGTTCTGGAGGGGGAGAATGGGGCCCTTTGTTTGGCTGAAAGAGGTGATATTGATTATATACAATGTCATCCAAACTTCCGTATGTTTGCTTGCATGAACCCAGCAACAGATGCTGGGAAGCGGGACCTACCCTTTTCTTTAAGGAGTAGGTTTACCGAGTATTATGTTGATGATGTGCTGGATGATGATGATTTAAGTCTATTTATTTATCAGTTTATTGGTGATGGCCATAATGATCGGGAGCTAGTAAATAAAATTGTCTGTTTCTATAAAACATCCAAAGAGGAAGCTGAAGAGAGGTTGCTGGATGGTGCTAATCAGAAAGCTCAATACAGTTTAAGGTCCCTTTACCGTGCTCTTGAATATACAAGGAAAGCGGAGAGAAAATTTGGGTTTCATAAATCATTATATGATGGCTTTTGTATGTTTTTCCTCACACTATTGGATGGGCGTAGTGCTGAAATAATGGAAAGGAAAATCTTGTCTCTTCTGTTAAACTCAAGTGAACCTCCACCACATGTTCCTTTTGACCGATATTTAACCTCCACCAAATCTGATGCTTCCTTGGGGAGCTATGTTCTGACCAAAAGTGTTAGGGAGCACCTTGGGAATTTGGCTCGTGCTGTTCTGATTAAGCGATATCCTGTGCTTCTACAGGGACCCACATCTAGTGGGAAAACTAGCCTTGTTCGTTATCTTGCTGCACTGACAGGTCATGAGTTTGTGAGAATTAATAATCATGAGCACACTGATTTGCAAGAGTATCTAGGTTCTTACATAACTGATGCTAGTGGTAAGCTTGTTTTTACTGAAGGTGTATTGGTTAAAGCGGTAAGAAATGGTTACTGGATTGTATTAGATGAGCTTAACTTGGCTCCATCTGATGTCCTGGAGGCATTGAATCGGTTGCTTGATGATAACAGGGAGCTTTTTGTTCCTGAACTGCAAGTTACAATTAAAGCACATCCAAACTTCATGCTTTTTGCCACTCAAAATCCACCTATTCTTTATGCTGGGCGTAAAATGTTATCTCGGGCATTTCGCAATCGCTTCATAGAGATTCATGTTGGTGAAATTCCTGATGATGAGTTGAGCGTAATACTGGAGCAGAGATGTGAAATTCCTCAAAGTTATGCTAGAAAAATGGTTGAAGTGATGAAGGAGCTTCGGCGGTGCAGGCAGGGTAGTAGATTTTCTGATGGGAAACATAGTTTTATGACTCCCCGAGATTTATTTCGCTGGGCTGATCGTTACAAAAGATTTGGAAAATCCTATGAAGATTTGGCCAAAGATGGTTATTATCTTTTGGCTGAAAGATTACGGGATGAGAGTGAAAGGTCCATTGTTCAAGAAATTCTAGAGAAACATCTGCGGGTTAAACTAAACAGAAACATTATCTATGATCAGGTATGGTCTCTTAATTTTGGTGATTCCTGCTCAGCTAGTGATAACGCTGACATTGCCCTGATTTTCCCCCCCAATATTTTGGCTTATTTTGTAGCTTTCGCAGAATTAGTTTGACCATCCATTTTGTAAACATACATTTAGTATTATATTGAATGGAAGATTGCCCTGTTTATTTATGCCTTCGTTTGGTGTTGGCAAGCTTATTCTGTAATATATATCCTTGCATGATATGATCTGAAGTTCAAATTTCCAGACCAATTATTGAAGTTGAACCCTTGTGAATATGGAGTGTGAATTTGTGGGTAAATATTCTCAAATATTTAATTTATTATAAATTGTTGGTTTAAGTTACTAGCCATTGTTTTTTTGTGAACGGATTCTTTTTCTGGTCTGATGTTGAGAAGAATTGGGTAATCTGGTTTTAAATTCAAAACCGCCGTGACTATGTCTATATTATGTATTATGTATTTTCTTTTATACATCTTTATAATCGAGGATTATGTCCCTTCCCTTTTTTGGATTGAGCTCACGGGAATATTTGGAAATTTCTATATTTTTCAAAAGTTAGTATTGGCAAATGGTTACACGCTACTTGGTAATAATAATGAATAGTTGATCAGTAAGCCTCTCTTCATTAAAAGTGCCTTTTAGAATTGGTTTTTTTTTCCCTTTTTTCAAACATTTTTTTCCTTCCAATTTTCAGATGATATGTGAGGGGAAGCACTCTTTCAAACTCTCTGTTGATTCTGGATGTTCAAAGAGTCTTGAACGGTATTGGTTTTTTATCCCTTTTCAGTTGGTCCAAAATGTTTCGCTAATCACATACATACTGATGCTTTTGTCCTATACAGTTTTAACTTGACCAAGAGCATGCAGAGGTTGTACTTCCTTGTTGAACGCTGCTACCAATTGCGTGAGCCTGTGCTGCTTGTTGGGGAAACTGGTGGAGGAAAGACTACTGTCTGTCAGCTTCTAAGTGCTTGTTTGCAGATGAAGTTACATATCTTGAATTGTCATCAGTATACCGAAACATCTGATTTTATTGGGGTCAGTTATGCATTTTGTTTATTTTAGTGTTGGAAGGAGTTTTTGAATGAAATACGTGTCTTTTTAATTTATGAGGTGCTAACTGGGGAAATTTGTACTAGGGGTTCCGGCCTGTCCGAGAAAGATCTAGACTGATATCCAAGTATGAAGAAATAGTGGAACACTTGAAGAAGTTAAAGGCTTATACCTGTTTTCCTCAAGGCCTTGTGAGTGCTATATCTCCATACTTCCCTTTTGGATCATTTGAAGAGTTTGTGTTGATAATTGTGGATATATATGGCCCCTATTTTTTCTTCCCCTTTCTTCGTTGTTATTTTAAATTTTTTCATGTAGAGGCTTCTTCTTTACACCAGTTTTGTCAATGTTATTTTCTTCCTTTTTTTTCCCCTCCAATACAACAGACACTGATTTACATTTTCTGTTGCAGTGTGTTTCCTCTGACATAGATCATGCTTCTTCGACCCTTGGTTTGCTGAATGGTGTAATAAGGAAATATAGAGAAGGTCAAGTTTGTTGTCCTGATGTCACCATGGATGATCTTTATGCTTTTGAGCAGTTGAAGTTGGACCTAGATGAGCTTCATCATGAGTGGCAGAGTATATTTGTATGGCAGGATGGGCCCCTTGTGAAAGCAATGAGAGATGGTGATCTCTTTCTTGTGGATGAGATATCTCTGGCTGACGACAGTGTGCTTGAGAGATTGAATAGTGTATTAGAGCCCGAAAGGAAACTGGTAAGTAATCATACTTTTGTTTTGGACATTTCAGCATAAAAGCTTAAGCCTTGGAGAGTTTATGAAGGCTTTTTATATATCTGCAATGTGGTTCCTCATGTAGAAGCACTATCAACAGACCCTTGTATTGTTGTCTGTAAGCCGTTGTGCTTGCAAGTCATTTTGGATATAAAACTTTTTATTTGATTTTGGATCAAGCGGTCTTTTATAGCATCAAAACACAATTTTTGAAATCACACAGCTTATCTGCAGCATGCTAGTAGCTAGTATTCAATCTAGAATTGCTCACACTGCTAGTACCATTCAGACTACACTGCTAGTACCATTCAGACTAAATTACCAATTATTTTATACCGTTGCCCTGCAATCCTGTCATCCTTAATTATATTCATCCCACTTAGACTATGGTTCAACTCTTATCTTATTTAAAAAGTTTTGCTGCAAATACTTTCCCAGTCCAAAATTAGTTAATGCACAGTTATTAATTAGGATTTTTTAAAAAGGATCACTTGTGCATGAACAATAATTGCATTCACTTGCTTAGTCATGAACAGCTAGTTATTTATTAACTCCACTACCTTTTGTTTTCTCCCAATTTTTGCTTGCAGTCTTTGGCTGAGAAAGGGGGGCATGATCTGGAGGAGGTTTGTGCTCACCCAAAATTTTTTGTTCTTGCGACCATGAACCCTAGTGGTGATTATGGTAAGAAGGAGTTATCTCCAGCATTGCGCAATCGCTTCACTGAAATATGGGTTTCCCCTGTTAGTGATTTAGATGAACTTCGAGAGATTGCTTTGACAAGGTATCGGTCAGTTTCAAAGTTAAATGATGAGTGTTTATTTCAACTTCCTTTGTTCCTTCTATATATGCCTTTCTTTTTCAGAATTTCAAAGTTTGAAGATGCAAGCGACTCATGTCCTTCTGATCGGGATAAACTCTCAAGCGGTGATATTGTTGATGTTATGATATGTTTTTGGGAGGTATGCTATCTGCAGATTCACTGTTGTAATTTGAAACCATTGGTTTACTTTTTCACATTTAAAATTTTTTTCCAGTTGAGCTGATTTTGGTTGGTTCTCTTTTATTCAGTTAATTCCTATTTGGAATTCTGTTAAGACCACCTTTAGACACCTAGGAAGATACATGAAAAGGGAAAAATACTTATGTTGGGCAAAAGTTTGACTTGCTATTTTGAAGAAAGAAGGAGAGAATAGATTGCTATAGGACTGCTATAATCAAGCTCTCTGAGTTGGGGGCTGTGAGAGTCATTTTTGGGTCTATAAATCTTCCCTGAGCAAGAAAGGCAGAGAAGAATTTTGAGAAGTGTGGCTTAGCCTTTGGAGGGAGAGAGCCAATCCTCTCTGGCAAACTTGTGTGTATGTTCTAGAGTTCCTATGTTGTGTTGTAATTATCTTTTATGCAGTAAGAGCATTATTAATCTCAAGTATTCCCATTCTTTGTTGTTCATTTCTGGTTTCTAGTCTTCTTGTAAGTTTGTTTAGAGGGGGCTTCTATCAAATTCTTCTAATCTATTATCTAAGTTGAGCGAAACTGATTCGATCCTCACAATTCCTATAGAAATGTTTTGGCTTATAGCATGTGTAACCTAAAATCCATGTCCTACTATTAGGTGCTGTTTGGTGTTATGGTGATTATTTCATTTGATCAGAGCTATTATATCTGATTGATCATTTGTTTTTTACACGCATGTTTTTCAGTGGCTCAACCAATTGCGTCCTGATAGAATGCTTACTGTGAGAGATCTCATTTCTTGGATTGCTTTTTTCAATGTGACGGAAAGAAGTCTGGGACCTGAATATGCAGTTCTTCATGGAGTATTCCTTGTGCTGCTTGATGGATTGAGTTTAGGTACATCTACTTTGTCATGGAATTGTGGCAGAAGATTGGTTCTTTGTCTGTTTTATAGTTTTTGAGAACTATATATTAACAAAATAGTGAATTTATTAACGAGGAAGATAATTGAATGATTTGTTCTCTGTCTGTTTTATTGCTTGATATGAATGTCTATTAAATTGTATTTTATATATAAAAAAGATAATTGAATTGATTATTTATGATGGCTTATGAATATCATGGCTAAAGCACTATCAGCAGGAGAGAGAAAATGGAGAGCAAGGATAGAGAACAACTATGGGCTGTTCTTTGTTTTCAGTTTTAAAATACAGAAAAGTAGAAAACATTTTGAAACGTGCACAACAAACAAATTTCTAACCAAAAACGTTTTTCAAACCGGGAATAAAAATATGGTTATCTTTCTTACAACTTCATATTTATTTTACTAATCAAGTATTTCTGAATAGTTTGTTATTACTTACATGTCATGTCACCCTAATAAACGAAGCATTACAAATTATTCTATTTCTCGTTTTCCCAGTAGCACTAAAATGATTATTCGTAGAACTTACTTGGGATCTGATTGTCGATATCTGTCCCATGAACATGTTTTGGTAAGTTGTATTACTCCTCTTAATTTCACATTATTGGCACCCCCCCAACAAAAAAAAAAAGAAAAAGAAAAAGAAAAAAGGTAACTGAACACTAGCCTGCTATTGTATAAGTTCTCCATAAACTTTGTTGACGTGAGTTGATTTTTATTCTATATGTGGTGAAGTTTGATAAGACATTTTTTTTTTTTGGGTCACCATGCATTCATTGTACTCTCTTTTTGACCTTTTTTATAACTTATCAGGGACTGGTATTCCAAAAGATGAGGCAGATGATATAAGGGAGAGATGTTTATCCTTTCTTCTACACAAGCTGAGGGTATACTTCTTTTGTATCCTTTGTTCATTTACATTGTGGTAATGTTTAAAAATTCAAACTGACTGTTGAACTGAGAAGGGAATTGGTTAATCTCTTAAGTGATCTTCCTGCGGTTCAACTGTGATTAAGCTGGTGTTTCAGATATTACTGATGTTGATAACTTGTGCACTTGTACTGATTTAGTTTTAGATACTGTGTTGGAGCCTCTATGGCCAAGTAATCAAGAATTTGATTTTTCCAGTGTCAATTGCCTTCATTAGAAATTAAGTCTTAGCGCATGGGATAATGAGCCTATGCTGTTTACAAGCTCTAGCTCAAAGGGCTATCTTGTTAGGGGTTGGGTTTCAGATATTGGTAAAGTGAATGATGGAGTTTCCTTTGCTAGCTTAAGCTTTTGAGTTGAAATGGTTCTTAATGTATACAACAGAGAAACAGAGGAAACTGGACAGATTTTCCTAGAGTTCACTTAACACATAGGAATGCAGAACTGATCATCTCTTCCGAACTAAATTGGCATGGGTTTTGCGTTATAAGATGATATGTCTATTCACAATAACCTGAATTATTTGAGCACAAATGACAAAATTATTGTTTACCATGTAATCAGTGTTTTGATGGGTGTATCGAAGTTTTCCGTTTGCATGCTTCGATGAGTGCTCTTAGAATTGCATCTTTTAGTTTGGTGTCATGTAATACAAGGTGTAAGTTTACTTTTTCTTGGAAACTTTGTCATTGCTAACTTCATTGGTGCTACAGGTTGATGAAAGTCATTTATTATATTCAAATCTTTCAAGAATAGGAAATTACGGTTGGGGTGAATTTGGCACAGTGGCGGGTGCTTCTCACATTGATGATATGCAACGAGATAATATATTTGGCATTGATCCATTCTTTATCAGAAAAGGTGATTGAAATACACATCATGCTTCCTTTTTTGTTTTGTGTGGTTTGGATTGATCTTGGCTAAGTACTTTTCCCATATAAATTCTGTGATAATTTTTGCTTAAAAAAAGAAAAAGAAAAAAAGCCAAGGTGTGATATATTCCTTATCCTTCTCGTCTTATAAAATTGGAGGTTTTGGTCCATGCATTGGCTTGATTGACCTCAGTCTACCTGTTCTAGCCCATTAGCTTGCAATAAAATTGTAGAGGGCATTGGAGGTTTTTTTTTGTCGGAACTACTTCCGTCATTTTTTTAAGTTTTCATTGTTTTGTTATAACTTGGATGTTAATGAAGGTCCCCCCCTCTCTGGGGGCTGTATTTTCTGTACACTAGTTGCCATTTGGAAAAATTCCTTAAAGGAGGAACTAGAAATTGGATATTCAATAGTTCATGTTGATGATTGACACTGATTCCATGATTTGTAGTTTTGGTTGAAGTTGACCTGATATATGGTTGTTTTCTTTTTTAGTCTCCATTAGGTTTACTGTTGCTAATCCTGGGATATTAGAACTAAACTCTATGGTTGTTTCATTATTTATTCTTTTACGAGTCATGGGCATATATATGTGTATGTTTCTCATGTTAAACATATGACTGGGCGGGAAATAATTCCTATCTTTGAAATTTTCAGACTATTACGTGAGTTTTGTTGTATGCCTGTAGGTTGTGGCAATTGTGAGACTGGGGGATTTGAATTTAAGGCACCAACAACTCGACGAAATGCCCTCAGAGTTCTGCGTGCCATGCAGCTTCCAAAGCCTGGTATTTTTCTTCAGTTGCTTTAGTTCTTTTGCTTCAATTCTACGTCAGAATTTATTTTTCTTCAGTAGCATTAGTTCTTTTGCTTCAATTCTTTCTTGATTTATTCTCACTTTGATTTGCATATCATTGGTGTGCAGTTCTACTAGAAGGGAGTCCAGGGGTTGGGAAAACAAGTTTAGTTGTTGCCTTAGGAAAGTTTTCTGGACATAAAGTGGTACGAATAAATTTTTCTGAGCAGGTCAGTAATTATTCTCGCATGATTTATCTTTCAGTTCCTGTGTTATATGTCTGTATATTCTTGTCTGCCATATCATTTTTATACCTAGATGTATGATGTTTTTGGTGCAGACTGATATGATGGACCTGCTGGGTTCGGATTTACCTTTGGAAAGTGACGAGGGAATGAAATTTTCTTGGTCTGATGGGATACTATTGCAGGTTGAGTTGTTGTAAGATGAAAGCTATAATGTCCATCACGCTTTTGACGTAAATATAACTATCAGTAATCCTTGTTTTCAGGCCCTGAAGGAAGGGTGTTGGGTTTTGCTTGATGAGCTTAATCTTGCCCCACAATCTGTTTTGGAGGTATTTTCATGCCAATTTAAATGTTGCTTTTGTCCTTTTTTCCATTTTTGTTGCATGGTCTACTTCATTTTTGAAGGAGCATTGATGTAATTCTCTTCATTGTATTTATTTGCTTGCTCCTTTTTCATGTTCTGGGAAGGGTATATTTTAATTTTTCTTAGTCGAAGAATGGATGGATGGCTTTGCTATGCTCAAGTATCAGTAGTAACATATATAATTTGAATCAGGGTTTGAACGCTATTTTGGATCATCGAGCTGAGGTTTTTATACCAGAGTTGGGTCGTACTTATAAATGCCCACCGTCGTTTAGAGTTTTTGCTTGTCAGAATCCATTGCATCAAGGTGGTAGTAGGAAGGGCCTTCCAAGATCATTCTTGAACCGATTTACCAAGGTAAGCTGGTTTATCAAGGAAATTATGTCTTCCTCCCTCAGAGGACTTTTCATTTTATAACGGTTGTTTTTTCCTTTTGGGCCCTTGCTTTTTGATGTTAAGCTTACTCATTATGAGTTAGTCTTTCAATATTGATATATATTGCAATTGATTTCTTTCTACTCCTGGATTGCAGGTTTATGTTGATGAATTAAACGCTGAGGACTATCTTTCCATTTGTGAATCAAAATTTCCAACCATGCCAAGGTCTTTACTATCAAAGTTAATCTTATTTAATAAAAGAATGCATGATAAGTTTTCCAAGGACGGCTTTCCTTGGGAGTTCAATCTGCGTGATGTATTTCGATCTTGTGAGATTATTCAAGGTTAGGTTATTCATTCCATTCAACTCCAGTTTTACGTTTCAGTTTGTTCCTCTTTCTCTTTCTGAGGTCTTTTGTCATGTCAAAAGTTATTCCTCTCTCACAATATTTTCGTATGTCTAATCCAGGGTCTCATAAGCACAGAAGCAAATATTGCTTTTTGAACACTGTCTACATTCAAAGAATGCATACAGCAGCTGATCGACATGAAGTCTTGCGGCTCTTCAAGGAAGTATTTGGGGTGACTCCAGTTATAAATCCCTATCCTCGAATAGAGACCAAATCTGATAGCCTAATTGTAGGGCATGCTGCTATTAAGAGGAATCATGTCCAATTATTGACATCTTCAAGCTGTCAGCTTCGAATGTTGCCTGAAGTTCGTCTAGGTTTGGAAGCTGCTGCTCACTGTGTACAGCATCAATGGTTATGTATCTTGATTGGCCCATCATGCTCGGGCAAATCTTCCTTGATAAGGCTGCTTGCCAACCTTACGGGAAATGTGCTGAATGAATTAAATCTTTCATCCGCCACTGATATCTCTGAATTACTTGGGTCTTTTGAACAATATGATGCTTTGAGAACTTTTCACTTTGTTGTTGCTCAAGCTGAGCACTATATTAGCGAGTATTGCAGTTTGCTGGGGGAAACATCAAAGGCCGAATTCCTTAGTGAAAAGCATCTAGTTACCCGATGGCTTGCATTCTTGCCTCGTATGAGGTTTGACAGTTTGGATGCATCTGCTTCAATTTCTGTTGAAAACTGGGGAAAAATTGTTTGCTCTCTTAATCTGTTGGCTGAGATCATTGAAGAACTGAAGTTGAATATAGAGAAGAGATCTTTTGACATGTCTTATTCAATCATGGAACTTGATTTGATTCTGAAGAAAATTCTGAAGCTGAAGGTGGATGACCAGAAAAGGTTGATTTCAAGAAAATTTGAATGGGTTCCAGGAATACTAATCAAGGCCTTAGAAAGAGGGGAATGGATAGTCTTGGAAAATGCAAACCTATGTAGCCCCACAGTATGTGACCCTACTCTTGGTTATTTATTTACTTATTTTTGGTAATAAACTTGGCTATTTATTTACTTATCAATTGGTCGACAAAGAATCATTGCCTGCATCTCAATTATCAATTGCTCGACAAAGAATCATTGCTTGCATCTCAAAGCTACTATGCCTGTAAAAATTCATTTTTGTTGTGTTGAGAATTAATTTGTATTTACATACAGAATGTTGACTTCAATATTATTTATTTATTTTTATTTTATTCTATTTTATTAGGTTCTTGATAGAATTAACTCTTTGGTGGAATCTTCTGGGTCAATTACGGTTAATGAGCGTGGAATTGTTGATGGAAACCCACTAGTTATACATCCACACCCCAATTTTCGCATGTTTATCACGGTTAATCCTACCTGTGGTGATGTCTCTCGAGCAATGCGTAATAGGGGAGTTGAAATATTCATGATGCAGCCATGCTGGGTTTTGGATAGTGTAAGTGGATACAAGTATGATGATACTGAATTCGAAGATGTAAAGAGGTTTCTCATTTTATCTGGCATTCCTGGTTCTCAGTTGGTTAATGCCATTGCTAAAGCCCACATTTTTGCGAAGAATGAGGGTTTACACCTTAATGTTCACATTACATATCTAGAACTGTCACGTTGGGTTCATTTGTTCCAGCACCTTCTTATGAATGGGAATAGTCCTATTTGGAGTCTACAAATAAGTTGGGAGCATGTATATCTCTCCTCTTTTGGTGAGGTTCAAGGTGGGAAAATAATTCAATCTGGATTAACCACTTATTTATCAGTATCTGATATTTGTGGTAATGATACTTTGGGGCACGCCCTTTATGTTTGCCGGGTGGATGGCCGATGCCACTGACTTTGAGGGACTTCATACATTACTCAAGAGAAGCTTCGGTAAAACAAAACTGCATGTATCTGGAGTTCCTGGGAGCACAGTTTGCATCACATCAATATCGAATTTCTTCAAACAGGTTTTCCTCAGACCGTTGGTTATATTTGATAGACATGATGAGGTTGTGTGAAATTTTGTTTCCCAAATTTCAAAAGGCGATAGATTCAGACTGCAGAAGTGAAGCTGAATTTGACTTGGAACTGGCAAAGAAGATGCTGTGGTTTGCTGCATATTGGACGATTGAGCAAGCAACAGAAAGTGATTTTACTCTCTATGTTCTCCGGTTTAGTTGGTTTAGCTCTCAGGTGCATCCATTTTGTCAGTTCTTCCAGGAGTTTCTGAGACTGTTGGAGCAAATGGTCAAGCATCCTATATGGCAATATATTTTACAGTGTCGCAGACTTTCTTTTGATTTGCAGTCAATGCCACTTTTGTCCCTTGAGTTATTTGATTTGGCAGAATCAAATAGCGCATGTAAATATATCAGTAATTCTATTGACTGCATAGATCTGCTAAAGTTAACTTACCGGCAATGGGAAATTGAGAAGCAATGGGATATCAAGAACAAGCATCATTTTGATGAAGTTTACAACTTCAAATCTTTTCTGGAGTCTCTTCAAGAATTGGAAAATGAATTCCTCAGTAAACTTGCTTGTCCACCCACCATGATTGTTGAATGTTCATCATTCGATAATTTAACGCAGTTATACTCTGATATTATTGAGAACCATTCACTCTTCTGGCATCACTTAACTTTGTCAAAGTTTGACCACTTGATAATATCATGGCGTTCTTTGGTGAAGGATGCTAGAAAGTTGTCGATATCTGTCCAGAGCGGATAGAAGAACTTATGGTAAGTATATGCTGTATTCTTATCTTTTGATATTCCTTACAGAAAGTTACTTATTGTTATAATTACTGTTATATTTTTATTTCAACAGATGAAAAGCAGAGAATTGGAGAACGTTTTGTCCAGAAAAAGAAGAAATTTGTTGTTTTCTTTTTCAGAAAAATCTTGCTTTGGGTTTATGGTGGCCATCCATACTTACCTCCTTCTTGTGATTTACATCACAAACAAGACCAGCTTTTGAAATTTGTTGAACTGTTGTGGTCAACAAAGAAAGCATCTAGAAATCAAGGTTTGCTAAATCTGAATTCTTTTCTTTTTGGCTTCTGTCATGGCTGAATTTTTATTTTTTCTCATTTATTTCCCTGTGAAAATGTATAGAAATGCAGAGCAGTCAGCTAATTGAAGCTGTTGCATCATGTGATCGTGATCTTCGTATTTTTGTGGTAGACGGTATATGCATCTGCTCTACTTCTGTCTTCCGTTTTTCTTTTGATGATAATTTGATTTTGAAGTTGTGATTTTCCATTTATCGGCACATTTTCTTAGATCTTGCCTGAGGATACACCACTTGCGTGTTAGGAGTTTGAATGCTGTTTTAGATCTGACATTGTCTTAGAATAAGGCACTATGTTGTTGTATGATTTCTCTTTACTAGATTTCCTATGAGAGTTTTTTTGGACTGTTTTGATAGCTTTGTAGTTGATGTTAATAAAGTTTTTGATTATTATGAATGCAATTCATGATATTTTCCTCTTTGGAGTTATTTCCATAATATGGTTGATGTACATCTTAAACCTGTTGAAACTTAAGTTCTCTTGTCTCTGCTTCCTGTGCTTTTAAAAATGTTGGACCTTAAACTTTAAGTTGGCTGTGGCGGTGGTCTTCATGCCTTATAGAAAAGGGTCCATAGAAATATGGTGGTTTGTAAAGGAAAACTCGAGATGATCTGAAATCTACATCTCATGCAGAAATTTCTCTTTATCTGTCTGATCATTCGTAAATTTCTTTTTATAACCATTTAGGTGTTTCAATGTCATCATGTATAATGGAGAAATGGAGCAAGGAGGGTCGTCATGATGATGATATTGTTAAGCAATTGGAGGAGGTGTATCAGGTTTGTACCTCTGAGGTGCTGAGGTCTTTATGTACATTTGTATGAATATCTATTCCCCCTTAAACCTACAAATGCTTCTCTGCAGGCACTGTTGAGAAGGTTTGAGGATGAAAAGCATAAGTTGAAGAAGAAGACCGGATCCAGTTGTCCTGCAGATTGGGGTGAAACTTCTGTTGCTTGTTGTTCGTTTCTCCTGGAATATTGTTCCTACAATCTGCCTTTTGTAGTTGGCTGGATACACTTCCTCCGGTTGATAGTGCCAGTTTACATTGGGATATGGAGTTGCTTCAAGAGCTTACATCAATTGACTTGTATGATCCTGAAGGCTCACGTCGAGTAAGATTAACATTTTTGTTTTTGTGTTGCGTTCTGTTTGATTTCTTACTTGATTCTGTTCTTTTTATGCAATTTACAGATTTAAGATGTATAGGAATTCTAAATGTTGCATTTGGACATTTTCTTCAATAATCTTTCTCTCAAATGCTACAGTCTGATGCTTAGAGAAATTCTTGTGTACTCCCGGTGTGCCACCTCATATCAACTCTGGCCAATCAAAAAGTAACTCCTCAGCAAATTTTAATCCTAGCTGTCGCCCTCTATTTTTTTTCGCTATTTCCCATTTTTACCTTAATATTTTCACAAATTCGCTTTCCTTCCCTGCCTCCTTCTTTCTCTCTCTTCCTGTAAACACAGTAGCAGCTTCAATCTCATTCTTGCTCTCATCTCTGGGCGAAACCTATTTCCCTTCAGTGGAATCCTTCATGCCTACCAAGCCTCTCTAGAACCCAAAAGATTTGACTTTTCACCGGGTTTTGTTAATTAATCAAATCCCTGATTTTTATCACCAATTTTGATCCCCAGGTGCTTTTCTTTTTTTTTTTTTTTTGAAAAATTACGATTTGTGTTTCTTGTGTGTGCATATTGATCTAGCTTTATTGGGTTTCCAATGAAATTTAATTCAAGATATGAGCACGCACTTGGCAAGGAAGTGGGTTCTAAAGATTTCACTCCTTAGAGCTGCGCCCAGCGGAATTGTAGGGCAGTGTTGTCCCAGGCCAAACGTGACTATTCTTAGCAATGTTTGGCTTGCTGCGCTTGATATTCTTTTCACAGCCTTTGCTGTGTTTCGCTTGATCGAGAGAAACATACAAAACAACCACTTGCGTATTCACAAGCTTGGGTTGTGATTTTTTTACGAGTTTTGTAGTGTATATAATATAATACTGGATGGTCATCGTGGTTATCGGCGCCTCTGCTTCTTGAACTGTGCCAACATGGACTCAGCTTGAACTATTCTTAGCCATCAATTTAATATGCTTCTATGGTTTTTTTTGGGAGGATGGTGTTGCTCTTAGAAATTAGAAGCGATTCAAAAATTTGAACATCAACAATGATTCAACATATCCTAGATAAAATGAAGCAGGATTTGGCGAAGTGAAAATATAAAAGAACGCAAGAATTAAAAGGGAATGTTCGGAGGAGAGCAAGAAAGAGATTGAAGGTTTTGATCGGGGCAGAGAGGAAAAGGGAGGCTGGGGTAGGGGGAAGAGAATTTGTGGAAATGTTAAGGTAGAAACTGGAAAATCAAAAATAGGAAGTGACAGCTAGGATAAAAATTTGTTAAGGTGTTGCATTTTGATTGGCCAGAGTTGATATGAAGTGGCACACTAGGAGTACACAAGAATTTCTCCTGATGCTTGTGTCACCAGTAATTAAATCTTTTTTTTTTTTTTAATTAGTGGGGTGAAGCAAAACTTGTAATTTGCATTGAGTGAACCGTTCAGTTTGTTTTTAGGGTTATGTTGAAGGTGTTTTGCCGTGCATAGCTTCTGAACATTTTGCACAATTTTTCTGCTGAATAGGCTGTCAGACGTGTTTCCAACCTTCTGAATTCTGCCTTGAAATTTTCACTAACCTTCTCTTCAAGGCCTCTTCAAATGTTCTTGCCACATCAAAAAATCTTATTCATCTTGAATGAATGGACTACAGAGGATGCAGGTTGGTACATGAGCTTTAGTGTTTCTTTTCTGTACTTGCAAATTAACCTTTTAACAATTTCCCACTTTTTTGGTATACTATAGTCAATGTGGAAATTGCAAGCTTTATTCTGGAGTTGTGGTTTAGGTGGCATCAATCTCTGTGGATGTGTTTCCCTGAATACATTAAGGTATGGATGAATATAGGTTTTGTTTTACATTTTGTTTTACTATTTTATTTGCTTTATCACTCAATTATGATATCTGTATTCACATGCAGAATTTCTCAAATATGGATGGTTTGGATACAATTGATACTGCATTACCCCATATGCTTATAGAACCTGTCAATGCCTCAACTGTCTTGCAGATTACGTGAGTTCCTCTTTTCCATGAAGACTCATTATTTACTTGCTGTGTGCCTTTTTCTGTGTCCCCTTTGTGTATCTATAATTCTAAAGATTCTTTTCCCCATTTATCTGAATGTATTTGATATAAACCTGCTGATAAATACGAAAAACAACACAAGGACAGCAGAAGAAATAATTGAAAAAAGTCCTTGGGTTTTGCTATTAAATAAAGAACAGTACCAAATCAGTGATACAAGAGAGGCTCCGCTGATTCTGGCCAAAACCCTGTTCCCTTGTTACGCCCAGTTCTGAGAGCACAGAAGCAAGTATTTGAATCATAAGCCAAAACGCAATTACAGTGCTTTGACCAAATAGGCCTAAGCTTGCAACAGGAGCTTAAGGCCTGAGCCTGTATGTAGCCTATTTTTAAGGCTTTGGCCGGAGCCTATTGCAGGCGATTTTTAAGGCTTTGGCCTGGGCGCATTAAGTAGGCTTCTAAAAAGACTTCACATATCTGGCCTTAAAGACTAAATGGGCTTCTGGGCCTACATATTTAAAATTGTAGGCTCTAGAGAGGCTTTGAGCCTGTTCAAGGCTAACATGCAATTGAAATAGAATTTAGTTTTTATTATAAATTATTCTGAAGAGTTATTAGATAACATCTATGATTTTTCTTACAAATTTTTTGAAGATTTTTGTTGACTTGAGCAAACTTGTAGAAGTTTTACCGAAAGAAACAAATGTTTATTCTTTTTCTAGTGAAAGCAGAGCACTGACAAATCTTTAAAAACAAGAGAAAGAGAATGAACAAGAATATTGTCATAAAATTGCTTTAGCAACATCATTTGAGATAAAAAAAAAAAATCTCGCAAAGCCTTGGTATATTCTTTTTTTTTTTTTTGGTAATTTTTTTATTGATGGATTTATGGGACTTTGTTTTTCTACAATCTTGAATATTGGTGAAGAATTTTTGATTGGCTCTGAATAATGAGGCTGCTAATTCCACGAAATTTTCCCTGTGTAGTATGCTATTGATTTAATATACCATTGGTGATGATGGCTGTGCAATTTTAAACAGAATAAAGCTATTTTTCTAAAATCCCGTTCTGTCAAATGCTTGTGTCTGTTCGTCTTGCCAAAATTATTCTGTTCTTCCATTTTTCATTTATTGCTTCTAAGTTCAACTTTATCTGATGATTGTAGATGTTAAAACATTTCCTTTAATCAGCCCTGATGGTGTTCTCAGTTTGGAACATAGGTTTTATTATGCTATCAAGTTTCTTATTATGTGTTTTTTTCTTTTTTTTGGGGATGGTATGTTCAGGCGAAGTATGCATGCTATCAGAGAGTTCAGGTTGCAATGTCTTAAGTTTAGAGTTACCTCATCCAATATATGGCGTAGCTTCAATCATGGGGAACAGTTACCAAACTTTCTTTTATCTGCTGCGCGCTCACTTTTCCAGCAGGTAGTACTAGTCTATATTATATATTCTTAGCTTCTTATCTGAGAGTTATACTGGTTGTTATTGAATTGACTCATAATTGCATTACTGCTTATTTTCAGATAATTTATGCCCACAAAAAATCTTTTAACGCGGATAAATTTTCTGTGATGAAGTTGCTCTTTTGTTCTTTCCAGAACGGCATGGTTTCAGTAAGTCCTCCTATATTATTATGGTTTATTTGTCCCTTTGTGAACACGCGTGTTCACCTTTCTCAATAAGTGTTGGAATACATTCATTGAAGCTTGATCTTTTGCATCACAGAATGTTCAAAGCAAATAAATTTGGAATTCTGAATAGACTAATCTGTCTCTGGCTTCTATCAATGAATAAATCCCCTTAAGTTAAATTGTCTTTAGCTTTCTGTAGAATTCTTGGAACTGCAGAAAGCTTTTGACGTCTGAGCTTGGGTATTCTTTCTATTTCTCTTCTTCAAAAGTGAAATATTAAGGAAAATTATAATAGTAGTTGTATTTTTTTGGGCTAACGTTATTGTTAATGTAGTTCACTATGTAGGCTTGGACACTATTGTTTGCATGGAAATTTATGCACCCGTGCACTTTTGTTGTACCATTGTGTTCTTTTAGATTTTCGTATCCAATGTATGGTGTTTGAAAATTTCTAGTTTTGGATATTTTCCTCTATTTTCTCATCCCCTTTTGACTGTTCCTAGGAAGAGATGATTGAGGCTTTCACAGCGCTGCTTGCTTCAACAAGGCACCAGAGATTGAAAGATTTGGTTCATGAATTCATTGCTCCTCTGCTCAGAGATCTATATATTCATTCCACTGCTGCTGGTGAAGGTAATTATTTGCTGCTGCTGCTGCTTCATGCTTTTTAATTAATGTATTTGTATATATTCTGTGCTTTTTTTTTTGGCCAGTTACAAAATTTTAATATAAACTGAAGGAGCTGACTTAGCATGGTTTGAATAAAATTGTCTTTTAATTAAAAAAAAACTGACTTAGCATAGAAATGTTACAAAAATATATTTGTATTGACCAATGATCATTTGAATATCTTATATTTTTACTTCACCTTTCTTCTTGTTTAGGCTTCAATAGTATTCTTGGTTGTGCATGGCTACGCCTTGGGGGACTACGGTTTCGTCTCTTGCTTAGCTGTATGGATACTGATCCTGCCATGAAGTACTATTGCAAGTACTCACAACTAGTAGAAATAATCTCATCACTTGAACTTGAAATCCAGGTATTCTGAAAATATTCTTTTTGTTGTCAGAGTAGTTGGTGCTTGATATGACATGAGCCATTTCTCCCCTCATTTTTCTTTGCGATATTTACTTCCTTCTTGTTGAGGCTGCGATTATTCTAGAAAAAATTGTTCTCTTAGTTTTCTTATACTAGTCTACTACCACTGTGTCTTCTATCATTATTGTTTGTTATCGTAACTCCTGCTTAGGCAGTACTGTTCTATATTCTATCTGCTAAATTCTTTCCAGGTGAGAAAAGAATGTGGATATCTAGCGGGAAACCTTTTCACAGTTGAAGCTGATAAAAGAAAAGCGCAAAGGCTGGAAAAGCTTAAAGAAGCGTGTAGAAAGCTACAAAAAAAGGTTTGAAAATTCTGCTCTTTCCATTCTAGTTCCTCATACTGTCTTCAATATTTTTATTTAATTGCTGTCTTTAACACTTGTCATATTGCGGTTCTGAGTACTATTTTTACATGGAAAACAGAAGAGTTTTATTGTGGGAAAATTAATATGAAGGTCCTTATAGTTTTCCTTCCTTGCACTTTTTTTCTCTTTTTATTAAGTCCTTTAACTAGATCCGTTAGTCCTTGAAGTTTGAAACTGTTAAATAAGGATTAGGCCGTCAATAATTCCCGTTAGAGCTCTACCAGCTGGATCTTCTTCTCCTTCTGTCTCCTTTCAAGTTCCACCATAGCTCTAAGGCTCGCTCCGAACTCTCCTCTCTTGATAGGTCATTAATTAGTATCTTCTCCTTCCCCACCATTAAACAGCTCACCGTTCCTTCCCCGTCATATATGCCATCTCTGAGCTTGACTTTTTCCACTACACCACTTGCTGCAGCTGACTGTGAGCACCTTCCCAATTGACTTAAAGCATATCTTCTCACTCTCTTTAATCAATTAATCTCCATAAACTTGAACCAAAAGCAACGTAATAGTACTTAAAACTGTCTGTAGTGTCGTTGATACATATGATAATGAAGTGGCCGATCACCAAAAGGCAATAACATTGAGCTAATGTGTTTCGCACACAGTTCTGTCCACACTAATATGAAGCTTCCACTTGCTTTTGTATGGGGGTGGATCAATGAATCAATTCTTGTCTTATTTCTTTCATTTCATATGTCTTGATTGTACTGTGTGTGAGAGACTCAATTAGATGTGTTGGGGCCCATTTCATGATCCCTCAAAAACGCACTATCCCTCATGAGTCATGAGCTTGTTCGTGGGCCGATGATGCCCTCTTCAACATACCCTCTCTAAACTCTCCATGCACCGTTCAAATAATTTCACTGACTTAGCATTGAACACCTCCCTCTTTCTCACTCAGGGGGGAAAAAGAAAAAAATCTCCCCTCTCTCAATAACAATGCCAACATCGTCTTCAGCACCATAGAAGCCTCACATAATTAAAATAGCTGTCTTTCTAGTACTAAAACAGGGGAGGCAGTCCTTATATTGTGCATAGAAATAGATGCTCGCACAATAGCAACGTGATTGAAGAGGCCTCTCATCTAGGCATTCTTCCTCACTATCTTGTATTTTTTGTATGGGTCTGCCTTGGCAACATTTCTAATCGTTAACCTCATCTGAAGAAGTGTTAGTTGAATGAGTCGACTTCAAGGATGGCATACATGCTAGGGAGGGAACAATGAACCATTGAATGATGGGAAGGAGAAGATGTCAGGGAACGAGTGAACAAGAGAGGAGTGCTTTGGTCTTGAGTCTTGGAGCTATGGCGGAAGGAGAGAGAAAGAAGATGATCTAGTTGGCTCTAACAGAAATTTCATATTTCAGGGGTTAATAGATCTAATGGCAGAATGTTAAAGGACTCAATTAAAAAAAAAAAGAAGCCTAAGGACCTTATTCAAAATCCAGGGAAACTATAAGGACTTCCAGATTAATTTTCCTTTTTATTATTTATCTACAAACTTTAGATATATGTTCGTTATGATGTTATCTAGAGTCAATTCTTTTTTTAAATACCACTTCCGGTCCTAAATATAAGATTTAATTTGCACTAGGAACTAGATTTTATGTTTAGGACTGGAGGCAGTATATGATTTGTTCATTGTTTTCATTTGGAGAGCATTCTGTTATTTAATAGACCTCTTGCAGTTAGATGTTGTGTGCTTGACAAAATTCTGTTATTTAAATGTCATATTTACTCTTCAGCTATCTTTTATTCTTGAGGGATGAGAAATTGATCACATTCTCTTGTACTTAGATTGTGTACCGATCTGAAGCTTGGAAACACATGGAGTTAATGGATGAATGCGCTGATTTTCTTAAACTCATTCTGTCGTTGGAATCTATGGTGAGCTGTGTTGAAGCTGTGGAATCACAACTGGCTGTCAACCAGGCATGCAACTGGCAGGTATAACTAATTCGGTTGTTAAAGGCTTATGTTCATTATTGAAGCCAAAGTAATAAATATGCATTTTTAGTCTGAATAACATGAATATAAGTATTATAATGCATTGAGTATTGTTACCTTTAGAATGTTTAGTGAAGGAGGGCATCATGTTTCTTTGTTTTTTACATCAAAGATTATGCAATCAAATATTGCTTGAAGTTAAATAAACCAGTAAGTAGGATTACAAAAGCAGAATGACATGGACAGGATTGCCCTATTTTTAGTGTTTAGCTCGTGGAAGCTTCCAGGGAAGCATCCATTATAGAAATTTCCAAGGGGATTGGAGACTCTTGTATTGATGATCCTGTCTTTTGCAATGTCTCTTTTTTCCTTGTCTTCCAGGAGGACGAGTGATGGTCCTCTCTATTTTTACTCTTTCTATCTTTCATTATAGTTGCATTTCTTCCAAAACTGCATTCGATGCTCATCATGAATCTGGACCATTCTATTTATTTTGATTGGTTCAAAGTTAATTTAAGTTAATTTACAATTATGGGTTTAGCTTTTTTGTATTTTAATAGATGCATAATTTAAATTGAAGATAATTTTTAAATTCTCAATTTTTTCAAAAACAAATTTATCCTTTAAAATTTTAAAATTAAAAATTTTTTAAATATGGACCCACCAAATTAGATTTGTATGGTTTCTTTCATTGTAGCCTAAAGCACTGAATGCGAATGAGGACACTATTCTTCCTTCCTGAAAGTATCAATTTTGTTTATTTACGGATACTCATGTTGCTGTGGAAACCTAATGACATTCCATTTATATTAGAAAATTAAAAGATTACACAATTCAAGAGTAATATAAGTATTTTCTGTACAATTTAGATATTCTCTGTCACTTGGAAATTATACTGAGGATTTTTTAATTGAAGTTCAACACTCATGATCTGATAAATTTATTATTTTTTTTTCCTTGTTTTGAATTTCAGGAAACAGCAAGTCGTTTCATTGATAGATTGACAGATGAATACAGTGCATTTAATGATATAGTTCAACCAATCCAACTTGCTGTTTTTGAGATGAAATTGGGGTTGTCATTGATTTTGTCAAGTGCCTTGGAAAATTCATATCTGAGTAGGGTCGGCAAGGAGAACAATAACTTTATGGTATCGTTTCCCTGAATTTTGTATTTCACATTTTAGTTTCTTCTGGACTTGATGATTGACATTGGTACCACTTCAGGAAACTATTTACAACCTTATGAGATTCCCTCGTGGCGCTTTGAGCAAGTTGATTTCTGTTAAGTTCAACAGGAGTTTGTACATGCTGCCTTCATACAGGCTAGATTCTGGCACAGGTTTTTATTCAGTGGATGGGGGTATGCTGGAGAGGCTTGTTACTCTTTCCAGTGGCATTGCGGCTTATAAGAAGGTCTGTACTTGTAATTATATGTTAAATATAATGCACAGAATCAACTTGTCTTGTTTTTCAGTTAGTAACTAAATCATGTAAACCAGGTTTCTGTTATGCAACATAGAGCTGCTGCCTGGCATAATATTCTCGTTCAGATTGCACATTCTGTATCCAACTCAAAAATATTAGATGATGAATCCTATCTGGTCAGGTTCTCCTTGTTTCTTTATATTAATTAATTCATTCATATTGGTAGAAATAATTATTTGCTTACTTCTTACCATATTGTATTCACAGCTCTTGGGCAAGATATTTGATGAATTCGCCAGGCTTTGGATGAGTATGAAAGTTCAGGCAAAATCAAGAAGTGATTATGATTCCCAACAGTACAAGTTTAAACCCCGAGTTTTTCAAATTGAGAGTGTCATTGATGTTGACATATCAACTCTGTCAAATTCTTTTACAACGGAAACATTTTCAGAGTGGAGAGAATTTTCTACTGAAGAGATATCTGCGGACAAAGTAATAGTCAAACTGAATTTCTTGGTTTTTGTGGTCTTGTCTATACTTTTTAGCTCCCCTCTCCTCATGCTATATTTGTTGGATTTGTGAAATGAAATTTGAACATCTATCAGATGGAAGCTACTGAGGCATGTGAAACATCAGTGGAAGAATGGAAGCAGCTGGAAGAGTCTATCCTGAGCAGTGTGGTTCTTATTCACAATAAGTTGTTTGGATCTGCTGATCTAGTCCAAATTGTGAGTGCCTTGGGCTTTTTGTCGGCATATACTAGAAAGTAGAATATACTTGCCTATCTGGGTTTAGAGATTCCAACCATATGTGCTGTTCCTGAGCTGAAACTTTCTTCCTAGTATTTCCTATATTGTGGGTCAGCAAATTTTTAATAACTCCCGGTGATTTGGTTAGCAGGGTTGTATAAGTTGGTTAGTTTTCTGTTAATGCCCTGGGGAAGTGAAATTTTTTTGGCCAATAAAAAGAAGGGCAGTTTTGACTTGTGCGGTCTGCTTTACATATTATGCATTGGTTAGGATTTTTGCTAGACTAGACAAATTAGCAATGATGTTTGTTTTGACTCGTTTTGCTTTATGCCTATGGACTACCAATAAAAATTTCGCAATTCAAAATAATTTCCACTGTCATTACAAATTACATAGAACATTACTGGCCACATTTATTTATGAATTTTTTTTTTTGGTGGGTCTCTCCTTTTCTTTTGTTGTCCCGCTTAATTAGATTGTTAAACTCTATATCTTGCATTGTAACATGATACTTCTTATTTTATTCAGCCCGGAACCTTCGAAGTTTCTAATGAGGATCGATTAGTTTCATTCTGTGACTCATACACACTGGGTATTGAGTTAATCAGAGGTAGTTATCAGTACATGATTGAATTTTGCTTCTTGAAAAATAGTTATGAGCTCCTCCCTGGAAAAGTTTATGATCTTGGTGTCACAATGTGCATGTTGTTTGTTTTCTTCCCTTAGGTGGCTGGACACCGCTCTTGTCTAGTTTAGATGCTAAGCTTATGCCAGAGCACTTACTCTATCTTTGTTTGGACTACAACCGGAAGTTCCACTTGTTTCACAGATCGGCTACGAGATACAATTTTTACAAGGTTTTGCCACCTTAGTTATACTGCCCCTCCCCTACTGCCCCCCCCCCCCCCAAAAAAAAAAAAAAAACCAAACAACTGTTTTGTGGTTGATTCTGGCATGACCTGGGCTGGAAAATTTACATTATATCTTTTCTTTCTTTGTTTTCTTTGAGTGAAGGATTCATATGCTTCTGAGATGGCAAAAATTGTGGAAGCACTTGCTCCTCTCCAGCAGAGGATTTTGTCCCTTCTTAATGAGTTTCAAGATCATCATGATGTTCAGAAAATGTCAGATATAGTTGATATGCTCTTGAGCCTTCCTTCAGTGACTCCTTTGGCAAAGGTAATCCAATAACTATCATGCCTACATTACTTCCAATGCATGTTTTGTATCCTTTTCTTTTTTTTTCTTTTTTTTTTTTTAATATACAACTGTTGCGTTAATCCTCTGAAATTGTAATGTTCCGGGGTTCTCTTGCAATTGCCATCAGGCTCTTAAATTGTGTATGCTTTTAAAAAGGTTTTAGGTAATTTGCTTCCAAAAAGCTTTCAAATGAGTTTCCCATTTATCTGTATTGATTGGAAAAGATGTTTGTCTTATGATTATTGTATGCCATGTGCTCCTTTTAAGATAAGTAAATGCCATGAGTTCCTTCCAAGTTTCTTCTCTTTTTGCCCTTACCTTATCATTGCTTCTTCCATATGCAACTGGTGTCATTGTCATTGTCACGATCATCATTTGGTCAGCTTTACCAGTGTCAGTTTGTTGTTTGTGACATTCGTTTTCATTTGAAAGTTTGTGGTTTGAAAAATTGCATCCAGAAGCTTTCTGGCTCTAGGTAATAATATGCAAGGTTATACATGATGCTCTCTCTTTTGTAGACATTTTCAGGGTTGCAGTTTTTACTGCACAAGGCTCAAGCTATGCAAGAAAGTGGCTCAAAATTCTGCTTTTCACGTATGAAATTTCTTTTGATTGTTATTGCTGTGTATAATTTGATGCCTATGTGTTAATAGTTGCCTTTCAATGGCTTACAGGTGAACTGGAACCTGTTTTTGAACTGTTATCTTTGTGGAAAGCATTGGAACTGGAATCTTGGCCTGCTTTGCTTGATGAGGTGATGGATCAATATGAGAATAATGCTGGGAAAGTAAGTGGCAATTGTCCCTTTTTTGCTTTTTGTTGCTGTTATTTGAATTACCATCTTCTTCTTAGCCTGAGTATACAATTATCAAATTGGTGAAGTTACAGATTCAAAAGATTTGTGAGTGACTAGGTTATAAATATTGGTGCATCATGCTGAATTTTAAATTCCAGAAGACTCTTGCTCTGCTCGATTCTATTCAAATGTTGTCTTATTTAGTTAGGTGCACTTAGATTTCTTGATCTTTCTAGCGGGTGTTGTAAATTTCATTTTTGGTGTTTAATTCTTAATGTTATTTATATGTTGAGATTTGTTTACTGACAAACCTCTTTCGCTTGATATTTTCATCATGTGTGGTCCTGATTTGGCAGTATTTTTCCATTTCTTTTCTCCCCTCCTCACTCTGAGGAAGTTTATCATATGAGATGTATTGAAATAATTCTATGCTAAGTAAATGTTGAAGTTATAGTTTTTCTCTTTAATATGCATGCTGTTGGGAAACCCATCAAATAAGTATATATTATCTAGAATCCGAGTTTAAGTTTGCTCAGTAGTCTTAGTTATCTTTTATCATCACCATATTTTATCTTGTAGATAACCTCTATTTTGACAATAGTCACCATGTTTGTGCATTGTCATTGATTTTCTACTTTAGAGTTACAATGTTCTTTTTCTTTTATGGTGATAAAAAAAGCTAATCTTTGCTTATCTATCAAATGGAAACAAAATTTCCAATTCATCTTAGTGATATTATTCGTTCATTTTAAAAGAATATCCTGCCTATTTGTCCATGTAAATTGCTTATTTTTCCTTGCTTTCTTTTGTTGCAGCTGTGGTTTCCTCTGTATTCAGTTCTTCAACCCCGTTCTTCTGATCAATCAGTGGTTCAGAGGCATGTCATAGATTGATATTGAGTCTGTTAACAAGCTTCTCGTTTTGCATTTTGTGACCCTGTTTTGTTGAGTTGTTTTTCAATGTTGCAGCTTGGAGGATTTCATTCACACATCCAGCATTGGTGAATATCGAAAGCGTCTTCAGCTTCTTTTTGCTTTCCTTGGTCAAAATCATATTGGCGCATGCTTGAAAGAAAGCTCCTGGTATCATTTGTGGTTCTAACATTTCATTGGGGTTACATGTTAGGAGCACTTAGGAAATTTAATACAGTGCTGGTAGTCCACCTGAGTATATGGTAAAAGTATAGTATTGGTAGTACTTGAGGCGACAGCCAAGTGTTTTATTGGTTTTTCAAGAATACTCGTGTGTTATTTTTGTCTCAACAATTTATAATGCTACGGAATTAAGATTAAAAAAAAGGGGGGGGGGAGCATGGGATGATTTCTGATAATCAAGGCTAGAAAGGAATGTTATAGAAGACTTTTTGAATTTCCTTGTATACTTCCATTGGAAGGTAATAGATAATTTTAATGTGACATCCTTTTCATATTATTTGTGTCCTGTCTTTTTCTGCTTGGCCTTGGCCCTAGTGGATGATCATATTGAAAACCTTTAACCCAAGCTCAGACCCCTGGCCGCATGTTCAAGTGGCTGAAACAGCATATTTTAATGTGGCTATGTAGCACAAGAATGTTTGCTCTATGTAAATTTATTAAGAAATCTTTCCTTATTGCTTTTGTTAATTGGTGAACTGTGCAGTCTTGGGAAGACGGAACATTCAAAGTACTTGTACAATATTTTCGGATTTTATGTCCAGTTCTTACCATTGTGAGTCACTCTGTTATATATTTGCATCATTTTGTATTTCATCTTTCACTTTATTAGATGTCTTTTGGTGAGTAATTATGTGAGTGACTGCAGAGTAATGGACTATATCGAGATGAATAAGAAAGAAATAGAAGCTGAACTGAAAGCACTGGTGAAACTGTGTCGGTGGGATTGCACCAAAAGTTATTTATCCATGGAGAACTTGAAAAAGAGTCGGCAGAAGCTTAAGAAACTTGTACAAAAATTTACTGTAAGTGTGACGCTGCTTTCATTTGCTGGAGTATAACCCCCCCCGGGGGGGGGGGATTCCTCATTTTCCATGCTTTTATTTTAGGGCCAAACCATCACCCAATAAATGAACAATGGAGTCAATTTAGCTTTCTTTTAGTTTTAGTAGTTCACATTGATTGCTTAATTTGATTTTTGTTTGTGATATATTGCAAAATCAGTGTTCTACATTCGATTATGTTAGATTTTTATTTGTCTGTTGAATAGATTTCTTTATTTTTGGTCAATGTGTAGCTTTGTTAACTTCTCAAATGATTGTTTTCCCCCCTCATTATGACTTTATTGCCACTCCAGTAAATATTTATCTATAGTCTTTTTTAAAAAAATTGTGGTCTTGCTGATGTACCGTAAGTTGAACTGCTGATCTATGGTCATGCAGCAGCATCTTTCTTTGTCCTGACAAATAGAACAAAGACCTATGTTATAATATTTATGTGCCTTAAGTGGTGGCAGGCGTTGCTCTGAAATGGCATGATGTTTCCAAAAGAAATGGTTTTCTTTCTCGTGCACGTTGGTTAGCATCACTACATTGTTCTGATCTTTCTTTTTAATTGTTGAAGGATATTCTGCAAGAACCTGTGGTTATGTTCCTTAACCAAGAAGCTTCACAAAAGGGAGCAAATACTCAATCCCTTCGTGCTCATAAGTTCATCTCTGATGTATTGAATAAGGGCTCTTTTGGTGTTAATCTTGATCTGACATGTTTCCATAATGAGAACAGGTTTTCTGACTGCTGATAATGCATCCTCTGTATTTTAATATTTTCCAGTTCTAAGTTTATTGACATACTATTGACAATCCTTTTATGATGTAGGTCTATATGGTTTGGGGAATGTAGCAAAAAATTAGATTGTGCTTTGCAGAACTTTCAGTTTAAGAAAAAAGAAGTATTTGACATACTATCTCCCCATTGGAAGAATTTTGAAGGTTTTCTTTTTTACCCCTCGCTTTGCCTTTTTTCTTTCTCTTTGCTTTGATGGTTGTGTTTTGGAAGTAATAAGGATTGATTATCTATGCAGAATCTAGAAGTATATTTAGACCTCATACTGGTTTCCAGCATGCAAATCTGTCTTGTACGGAAAGATGGAAAGCAATGTGGGATATGATTGAGAATATATATGTAACAGCAGTTGAGTGCGATCAACTTTGGAAGGAAGAAAGCAAGAGTCGAGGGAAAAGAAGAGCTTTGTCTTCACTTCTTAAGCTTTTAGAGAGTAGTGGTTTGTCACGACACAAGTCTTCATATTGGGAGGTGCGAAACTTAGTTATCTGAATTTATGAATGATCTGATTTGGCTGTATTCAGATATGCCATCACTTTCATTTTTCTTATTTTTTCTATGCTTTTTGGTCTTTTGCATAGGGTCATGAGAAACCTTGGTGGTTCCTTCAGCACTCTGGTGACATGCAACATTTGTTGCTGACAAATAGTAAACTACCTTGTGTAGTCTCAGAAACTGCAGCTGGGGTTCAGAAAAACAAAGTACTTGAAGAAGGCTTTGTTATGGAGTGGAAACCAGCCATTGAACTTTACTTTAAGAGTGTTGTGTCTGTGCTCCGTCTCCAGCAGATTTGCCTCAATCCTCACAGAGATATAACTCGTGAACAGGTAAATCTGAATGTTAATTTTTTGCCTACTGCTTACTGGCTGAAATTGGAGTCCAAAAAATAAATGATAAGGTTGCATTATTTACTTTTAGTTGTTTTCATCTTTAAAAGTTACAAAATTGTTCTATTCATTTCTTTATCTTTATCTTTTTTCCCCCCTGCTATCACATTTTTCATGCGTTATCTACTCCTATGTTGTGCCTATTTTTGGCTTTCTTTTGTATCTATCTGTTTTCAATTTTCTGTAAATGGAAAAAGAATAGTAATTTAGTGGGTGAATTTTACATCTCCACTGCATTGCCGGGCCCTTGCATTATGATGTGCGATGCTGAGTCACTTGTGTGTTTTTTGTTATTTGATCCAATTGCACCTTTTATGTCATTTGACATTTTTGGTCGTGTTAGTATATAACTTCTCTGCTGCATCGCCTTGCCTATGAATTATGATAATGATATTGGAAGGACCATCTGTTGTGCTGTGCCTTCTAAATCATGACTAGTTTCTTCAATGTTGTCTTTTGTATCTGAATTATTTTTGGCAGGTTGACAGGTCAGCTTCTTTCCTCAACCAGCTGGTTCAAGTGCAACAGAACCAACTTGCTGCTGCCAGTGGTTTTGATCGGCAGTTGAAACGATTGAGAGAATGCATATCTACTTTGAAAAAGTTGTGTTCATTGTCCACCTCTAATGATAACAGTACTGTTTATGAGTGCTTTATTCCAAAGCAGCTCACTGCCTATAAATGCATGTGGCAACAAAAGGTAAGTGCTGTCTTTACAATGCCATTTGGACATGTTAATTCTTGTGACGCATAATTGGATTTTGATATGATCTTTCTTGACCTTGCAGCAAATTTTTGATAGTCTGTGTGCTGTATTACAAGAAGAATTGCTTTTGCTGAGGACATATGAGAAAAGCCACTTAAGCACTTGCGAAAGTGTGAGACCTTCAGTCAGTCACATGATTGCTTCCTTAGAAATTTTTTTACCAGTGTTCAGTGGATCAAAGGTGCATACTCTGTCCTTAGTTGTCATATGCTTCAAATTAGTTTTATTTCCTGTTGCGTTCTATTTATGGAAGCTTATTACAGGCATCATTGGACCATTACCTTATTGGGGGTGAAAAAGCCATCACTCCAGTGACTTCTACCTCACATTTTTGCTTTGTTACTGAGGAATTGGAGCAGTTAGTCTCTGAAAATTTTAATGTTATAAAAGATTTTAAGGAGCACTTGCTAGTGTCACAGAAGCAAGACCTGGATAGAAGCTCAGTGAGAGCAGTTCTAATTGATCGTTTTCAAGAGATAATTGAAAAGGTGTTGATATCTTTCCATCAATGTGCTTAATCATGATGTGTGACTTTTCTGTTTTGATTTAGCAAAATTATATTCTGACGCAGCCCTAATAAACCGTAGTAATTTAGATTTGGAACATGTGGTTTAACTTCCTTCGTTGCTCTGCAGGCAACATTAGTTGAGGAAGAGTTTACCTCTACATTAAAGGCATATTATGTGCTAGAAGATTTATCTGAGGAGGGAAGCTTTCCAAATGTTGGATTTGATGAATCCCTTAGCTCTACATATGGACATATTGAAGAAGTATTGCAGAAATTATGTTCCTTGAGCACCAACCTCGTGGCTGAAGAGTCCGTGAATATAACTTCATGGAAATTGGTATTTGTTGACTTTGTAGCGGAGCTGAGATTAGATGTCCTATGCGAGAAAGTTTTCAAGACAGTCACATTTGGTGTAAGTTTTTGACAGTTGCAGGTTATTTGAGATTCTTTTCTTGATAGATGACTAAAGCGGTGGTTATTTTTTGTGTAGGAGAAGCCGGTGAATCATTCTGACAATAGAATTTACAGTTATTATTACACAGTTGGGAGCCATAATAGAGATCTATATATATTAATGGATCTCATATTGAATTTTGGTGATGAGCTGCTGAAAAATTTCCTAGCCATGCACAGATCTGTAAGCTTAATACTTAGTTTCCTGAATTTATATGTGTAGTTTTTCTTTATGTAATGTATCTTGCATAATTTGCGAATTTGATGTTTTCAGAGTGCATGAAAGAATCAAAATTTAAGATTATATATTGCACATTCATAATTATTCTAATTTAGTTGGACTCTGCTTCTGTCTGTTGTGGTTGTCAGGTATCGGTGACAACTCATGTGCTTGCGAACGTTTTAGCTGCTTTATATTCTAAAGGTTTTGGAACTTCAACTGAACACCTGGAGGATGATGGGACCGTCAATACATCAGAAAATGCAAGTGGGACAGGTATGGGGGAGGGTAGTGGATCAAAAGATGTCAGTGAACAGATCACTGATGAAGATCAGCTGCTGGGAACTCGTGGACAGGTCTGAATTTAGATCTTGTTACTGGTCATGACTTTGTAACATTGTTGTCTATTTTCTAAGTATCATATTTGTCTAACTTTGATTCCACGGCAGAGTAATAATCAAGATGACTCCAGTGAGGTGCCTAGTAAAAATGAAAAGGGGATTGAGATGGAAGAAGATTTTCAAGGTGATGCTGTAAGCATCAGTGAGGACTCAGGAGAAGATGAAAGCACAGATGCCGAGAATGAGCAGCTAGAGTCTGAAATGGGGCCCACTGGACCTAACAGTGACGCAGTTGGAGAAAGAGCTTGGGATGAGAACGGAGATGAAACTCTTAATGATACAGATGAAAAACATGAATCTGGACCGTCAATTAGAGATAGAGATAGAAGCAGTAGGGAGCTCAGAGCCAAAGATGACTTTGCAATTGATGAACCTGGGAAAGCTGACTATGAGGAACTTGATGATTGGAATAATGAAACCAGAGGCCAAGATGATGTCGGTGATGGGGAAACCACAGACGCGGTCAATCTGGAGAAAGAAGCTGAAGTTGATGATCCTAGTGGAATGCAGCCTGATGAGTTGGAACAAACCTCTGATGTGGATATGGATAGGATGGTAGAAGAGGATTTTATGGATGAGCGAGATCCTGAAGAGCAAGATGAATCAGCTGAGGATGCAAACCGAGATGTGAAGCATGAGGAGACACCTCCACCTGATGAAATCATGGAGGATGCCCATACTGATGCTGATGTTAGCTCAGAAGAGGATAAGCTAGATGGGGACCATCAAGAAAATGCTGAAACTAATTGCATGGATGGCAAGAAAAATATATCTGAACCAGGATCTTCTTGCTTGGCTAGTGAGCAGGTGGCCCCTCTTGAACTAGCATCAAAGGCCAATATTGATTCACAGACATCTTCTGAAAACATAGCAGCAGCGGAACCAAATTGGTCAAACGGCAATCAGAGTTTTGACAACTCTACTCTCGGAGGCTTACCTTCTAGTATTATGTCTAAGATGGATCTTAAGATGTCAGACTCATCAAATGCCGGGGAATTCACTGAAAATCAAGCTAAGTCTAGTTTTCCACAGAATGAGCATTCACATGATCAAGAAAGGCTACCCAACCCATATCGAAGTTTAGGTGATGCACTTAGGGAGTGGAAAGAGAGAGTTAAAGTATCTGGTGACCTTCCTGACGATAACACAGAGAAACCAGTTGACATGGAGGATGAAAATGCTGAGGAGTATGGGTTTGTCTCTGAGGTTGAACAGGGGACAGCTCAAGCTATGGGGCCTGCTACGTCAGAGCAGATGGACAGAAATATTGATGGTAATAAACTTGATCAAGAATTTCATACTGCAGAAAAAGATGAAGCATTGAAGTTTGAGAAGCAAAGTTCTGACATTCAATCTATAGCTAATTCTATTTCAATCCCAAAAAATGAGAAAAGGGAGCATGTAAATGTCTCAGGTTCGGAGAAATCACATGATGAAGGATCTGTGAGAACTAATGTTGCTGAAAGTGTTGATTTAGGAAAGCATTCAGATGATCTGATCTCTCTCAAGAAATCATACTTTAGTGAAGATATACATAAACTAAGTCAACTATCTGTGGATGACAGTAATTTGGGCAGGGCCCAAGATGTTCAGGATGTTTCTAGTGATGTGAAAGATAAAGCTACTGCTCTCTGGAGAAGATATGAACTCAGAACAACAAAATTATCTCAGGAGTTATCTGAACAACTCCGCCTTGTTATGGAGCCTACTGTAGCAAGCAAGCTCCAAGGCGATTTTAGAACTGGCAAAAGGATAAACATGAAGAAGGTAGATTTGACATTCTTTAGTTCCTTTTATTATATATGGTTATAGAAAAGGATTGTTATAACTTTTTTCTTTTTTTTTTTTCCTTATGTTTTCTTATTTTAATTTTAAAAAAAATTCAGGTAATTCCATACATAACAAGCAATTATCTTAAGGATAAGATATGGCTGAGGAGGACCCGACTCAATAAACGTGATTATCAAGTTGTAATTGCGGTTGATGATTCAAGTAGCATGTCAGAGAGTTGTTGTGGAGACATCGTTATTGAAGCCTTGGTTACAGTATGCCGTGCCATTTCTCAACTTGAAATGGGGAGCCTGGCAATTGCAAGTTTTGGAACAAAAGGAAATATAAAATTACTACACGATTTTGACAGGCCCTTCACGACAGAGGCCGGAATCAAGGTTAGTAGATTAGCAGTCTTATTTTTGTTTCTTTGTGTATATATTTGTTTAATATTACGTATATCATCAAAAGGATCTAATTGTTGATTATTGTACTGGAAACAGATGATCTCCAATTTAACATTTGAGCAAGAGAATACAATTGTCAATGATCCAGTTGTTGATCTGTTAAAGTTCTTGACCGACAAGCTAGATTCTGCGGTTGCTAAAGCACGACTTCCATCTGGGCGTAATCCTTTAGAACAACTTGTTTTGATCATTTCCGATGGTCAGTTTCATGAAAAGGTGATGTAAAGTTTTCATGCATTTCCTTCTAATTTTTTATCCTTTCATGTAAAGGTAATTAATGCAAATTTTTTATGGATTTCCTACTAAATGTTTTTGCCACCCTCCTTCATTATTACTGATTTTAAATTTTAATCCATCAAATTTTAGGATAAGTTGAAGCGGTATATTCGAGATCTATCATCTGGGAAACGAATGGTCGCTTTGTTACTCTTGGATAATTCCCAGGATTCAATTATGGACCGCACGGTATTCTTCTTTTTGCTGTGTGATTTTTACGAGGATATATAACTTTCAGTGACCTCCTTACGATTTTCTGATTCTGAATTGCAGGAAGTATCCTTTGATCGGAATGGAAAAATGAAGGTTTCGAAGTATATGGATTCCTTTCCCTTCCCTCATTACGTTGTTCTGAGAAGCATTGAAGGTCTGCCCCGGACCCTTGCAAGCATGCTTAGACAGGTAATGATATTTTCTGAATTACATGATTCAATATGGTTTGTTAAGTGTTGCAAGACGTTGATATTTGTCATCACATTTGGTTCTATTGATCATTTGATCATTTTCAATTTGTTGTCCTTCTCTTTCAGTGGATGGAGGAGCGTGTGAAGAATTCGATGGACTAGGATCCTCGTGGTCGGGGGGAGTGATGCTTGCTGCTTGTTGTCCAAATTCTTTTTGCATCTTTTGTAGCTTATAGTATCATCTCTTTCATTCATCTTATTACCCTTTTGTTCGAAAGTGGAGTTCCTCTCAAGAATACAATTGTGACGTGGATGCATTCCCTTCGTTGCCTGCGTAACATGAATTCTTCTCGTCTTCTCTCTGATTGAAATTTTTTTTTTTTTTTACTGAAATAAGAGCAAGCGCAGGAAGAAAAACGCTCGTGTTTGTATACGCACACCCCCATGCTCATGCACGGCCACTGAAACTAATTTGAATGAAAATCTATGTCTATGTTAAGAATTAGAGGGTGCCTTGTCCCCTTTTTCAACAGGTTTATGCTGGTGATTTTTGACATCTAGTGATAAGGATCATGTTCTAGATATTTTGAATCAGCTTCTCGAAATGAATATTTTTGAAACTGGCTTTAATAGCGCGATATTTTCTTGTCTAATCCTTTTTCTGTTATTTTACGAGTTAGAAATAAATTGATACCCTGTTTTTGGGCATTAATGGAGATGTATACCTTGGATTAATTACATGCAAAATGGATTTATAACGTCTTGTGAACGACTTGACAATTTGAAATATTTATTCACGGCTTACCCTAAGTTAACTAAGGTTGATTAACAGTTATATTTGTTAAGCTGGCAAATATAAGTAACATAAAGGTCCTTGCTTATTAATTTTACCTATTAAAAAATAAAAATATAATCCTTTAAAAGTTAATGTTCGGTTTAAAAAGTAATTCTAGATGCTAATAGCCTCAATCATCACTATTTACAAATTTTAATCCATCTAATTTTTCTGATGAGGCGGTTAGGGTCAATTTATAGAGATGAAAAATTATGATATAAAATACTATATGAACATAAATATATGTAAAAATATTTTATTATACTAACAATACATGCTTATTTACCAAACATTTTTTTTTTTTTTGGTATTGATGAGAGAGTTGGAGAGGATATAATGAATTCATCTACGCTAGTTTAGTGAATCAACTTTTTCTCACGAATAAATGTAGGCAGTAAATTAAGGCGCAATGCTTTGGCCCCAGTAAAAAAAAAAAAATTAATTAATTATGACAAAGCCCGTAGTGACACCACTCCCAAAAGTCAACTTTCTTACTAATAATGACACCTACGAGCTCCTCAGTTCAAGAGATTTGGATGGAAATAACACCATTCTCCATTTGCCAGTCATGTTGAAGCAAGTTAAGGTGCCTCAATTTCATTACCATTTGCAAATTCTGTACTATAGTTTAATTAACAACATACTTATATAATGACAAGTTTTCAAGCAAAATTATGTGGTGTTACATATCCCTTTCATTTCTTGATATACGCATCATGTGGACTAATCCAAGTGTTTGCAAAATAGATGTTGCTAATTAAATTATTACCAAAAAGTTAAGTGATGCATCCAATTGATTCAAAATATTATTTAAATTATTACCAAAAAGTATTAATTAAATTAATATTAATTAGATGTTGCTCACGCGCTGGCGCAATACAAAAGTAACAATTAAGTTGAATACTTAAATATGTACAGATGGGTCAGGGGCTATATTATTGATCACATGATATGCGAGTTCGGCTGCTAATTAAATCAATGATGCCCTGGGGAAAGTTAGTTCCTTCCTTCATTCTCAGTCAATTTATCCAATCTTTATTAATGTTGCATTTCATGTGGTAGTAATTATTGTTAATTCCTTCATTTAATGCGTGTGTATATACATATCTTGTATAACTCAAATTATCCTTAAGTCACTCTGGACTTGAGATTAATCTCTGTCGAGCCGTGAGCGTTAACTTCCAACAAATGTTTTCTGGAATTTGAATTTATGTTCTCTTCTTTATATAGTGAGACTTCTTAGCATTTCAACTAACAGCTTATTGGTAACATATTTTTTTCTTACTATCTTGAATTCACCTTGTTTCTCATCCTCACTCTTCACTGAAGATTTTCTTTTACTAAAATAAGAACAAGCGCAAGAATAAACGCTTGTACACACACATACACACACTTGCAGGCTCGTGCCTGGCCACTGAAACTAATTAATTTGAATGAAAATCTGTATTAAACGTAGAAAACTAGAGGGTACCTTGTTCGCTTCATGGATCAATACGTTTATTTTGGTGACTTGACACCAATTGATTCGTTTCATAAGAGCATTTTCTAGATATTTTAATTCAGCTTCTCCAAATGTATATGAGAAAATTTGAAGAACTCTTATTTCATAGATGAATATATGAGTGTGCATATATATTCTAACAACTAATAATAGTAAAATAACAAGTGTTTATATATAAGAGCTGACAAAAAAATTTACAAGTATTTACAAATATAGATGAATTTAAGGGGTAAACCTATAAATTTACTTTTCCAAATGTCTTCTTTTGTGGGCACAACCCTTCATTTTCTTTTTCTTTTCCGAACAAGTCAAGCCACCAAAGTTTTAAAGTTCAGGAACTTGAGTATTATCTCTATTTTCTTTTTCTTTTTACGCGGGATCATGTGAAAAATTCTCAGAAGTTGCGCAGAACTAGTGGACGCTACACGGCTCATGATTATAGTATACATAGTTAGTTAATTAATGATTATAATATTAGAGATTATATGCTTGTTAGTTATACATCCCCAGAGAATAAGAGATATAAATAGTCTAGAGCAGACGAGTTTTAGGTGCTCACTCTAAGATGAGCACCTCTACTAGTTTTGGAAAACCAGGAGTATTTTAGAAGGGGGAAAAGCAAACAAATACAATATGCAAAATCTAAGAAATAAATTTTTGATAGTCATACTTCTAAATAGCGCAACATGTTTTAAATTATATATTTATTTGTAGTTAATTTTTTTTTTATGACCTATAAGCTATATATAGTAATAATGATTAAGATGGTGAGTGTTATAGGATAACCAATGATACTTTTGCAAATAATCAACTTATCTAATTTTTTAATCTGAATTAATTAATTAGCTTTTATATATAAGACAAGATGGATTGATTTATAATCATATTGATGGAAGACATGGTGTTCGAGAAAACAACGAATTGATCTATATATGGAGCCTTAGTTAAATATGAAATCAACTCTCTCTTATACGTTGCATCATATGGGTTTTTGACTTAATTATATAAGCTAAAGTGGTTCCATTAACTTTGTCACTTGGCTATTACAATCATATAGGTTTTTCTTTCCCAAGTCTATTAAGGTGGGCTCAAACTAAACCTGATTTATTCTAAAGAGGGACACGTGAAATAGTTTAATACTTCAATTATTAGGAGTTAATAACTTTAATTAGTGGAAGTGGAGAGAATATTTATAATACATGAGGAGACCAACGAGGAGAGGCCAGAGAAATATAAATAGCTGCAGGAGTTTCGTCCTTAACCAGCACCGTACATTTACTACCATCCATTGTCATGGAGCCCATGAAAATGGAAATTGCTCATCATCATCATCATGAAGAAGAGAATATGAAAGCTCTTTATGAGGCATCATACCAAGGAAGTGTTTCGATTTTGAACACACTGATACAGAACGATCCATTAATCTTACACAGAATTAGCTCACAAACTATCTTTGTTGAGACTCCCTTGCACATATCAGCTTTACTTGGCCACCTTGAATTCTTAAAAACCCTTCTTACTCACAAACCCAAACTCACTCTTGAGCTGAACTCCTTCCAAAGCACAGCCCTCCACTTAGCTTCAGCAGAAGGCCATGTCGAGATTGTGAAAGAGTTGCTGTTAGCTTGTGATGAGGCATGTTTATTTTGTGATCAGCAAGGCAGGATTCCCTTGCATTATGCTGTCATGAGAGGGAGATTTGACGTTGTGATAGAGTTGATTAGAGCCAAGCCAGAGTCTTTGAGGATGCTCCATAAAGGGAACACCATTTTCCACCTTTGTGTCATCTACAATCGCTTGAAGATCCTAAAAGCCTTGATGGAATCGGACACTACTCACACCTACGAGCTGCTCAGTTCAAGAGATTTGGATGGAAATAACACCATTCTCCATTTGGCTGTCATGTTCAAGCAAGTTGAGGTACTTTGCTTATTTTTATTACCATTTAAAAATTCTGTACTATAGCTTAATTAACTTAGAGATTATGGGCAAAAACTCAAGTATTAACATGCTATTTAATTTATGATTATATATGCAGATTGTAGGGTACCTGCTTTCAGTTCCTGAAATAAGAGAGGTGGCAAATTTGGTGAACTGCATGGGTTACACCGCTCATGATATTGTGAAACGAATTCCACAGGACTTGAAGAGCCTTGAAATAGAGTTGATATTCATGAACACTACTTGCATCAAAAGAGACGAAAAGAAAAGAATGGAAAATGCTCATCAAACACCAATTACTGATGAGCTGGTTTTTGACCAAGCAGCTGCGAGCCCTAAGGAGAAGCGTAGGACAAAGAAAATTTTCAAGTGCATGGGAAAGTGGTTTAAGCATAATGGTGGTTGGTTAGAGGAGATGAGAGGGAACTTAAGTCTTGTAGCCACTGTTATTGCAACCATGACCTTTCAAGTTGCCATTAATCCTCCAGGAAGCTTCATTCAACAGGGTCTAGTTGATTCCAATGCCAAAGCCAGTAACAACATGGGACCCCTCGATTGTTTCCCGTTGACAAAAGATAATGATGGTTCTGAAATCTATAAAGCATGTCCAGGGGAAGCCATGCTTGCTTCTCGTTATCCATATGACTTCCGCATCTTCGTAATTTACAACACCATCTCTTTCGTTGCATCTCTTGGCGTTACCCTTTTGCTGGTAAGTGGGGTTCCTCTGAAGAATAAGGTCGTGATGTGGACCCTATGCATAGGAATGTGTATCACTCTCACATCCCTAGCACTGACCTACTTTAATGGACTTCTTTTGATATCCCCATACACAGTTTGGGATTCAACTGTTGAAGTGTATAGCGTAGCCACTTGGACTTGGGTTGCGTTGCTTGGAGTCGTAGGTTTATACATCATTGTGGGCGTCGTTATATGGGCAGTGAAGAAATGCATCAAGATAGTTAAACATTGCATGTCCGTGTGTCAGAGGAACAAAAACGAGAATGGTTGTTGTTTGCTATGATTACAATCACTAGTGTGCTATAAGCATGTGTTTGTGTGTGTGTGTGTTCTTTGGATAATAACAAGAATTTTCAAGCAAAATTACGTAGTGTTCCATATATCTCTTTCATTACCATAAGATGAAACTTAAAACAAGCGAATAAAATACCTTGCTTAGTATTGATTCGCTAACGAAGAGAAAGAAACAGATTAAAATGAGAATCGTCAACAACTTAGGGTGGTCAATCTTGCGGCTTACTTTTTAACTTATTGTTATATTATTATTGTTACTATATAGTCATGTATTTTGTGTAACTTTAGCAGTTTTAAAAAAATTACAGAAATTTGATTATCGATGAATTTAAGATATCACACAAGCAAAATACTACCTCTGGTTTTAATTATAAAAGCTAGTTGACTAATATGAGGAGATTAAGGAAATAAGTTAAGTTAGTTATTTATAATAAATAGGTGTTGTCTTTCCTAAAATATCTTTGCTAATCAAGTGTTTGGCTAAAACTACAATTATTAGAAGGACTATCTTAGAAAAAATTACATAAATATGAGAGACAAAGTGGATTGGGGTCTTATATTTAGGACCAAAATAAAAGTCAAATGAGGTCTTATATTAAGGATTGGAGGTAGTAATTACGTACTAAAAAGTGTCTATTCAAACTTTTATAATTTAGCCTAAAATATTATACTTCCTTTGGTCTTAAATATAAAAATTTAAACCACTTTGTTCTCTAAATTCATAATTTTTTTCAATTTATCCCTATTGATTGTATAAATTAATAAATTTTTTATCATAGAATTAGTTCTCACAGAAATAATTAAAGAGGATATTTAAAAAATAAAACATATCTTTTTACAAATAACTAATTTAGTTATTTTTTTTAATATCTGCAAATTAGTTATCTATTCTTTACATTTTAAATCAAAGGGACTAATATATATATATATATGTGTTATTTATTTATGGGGATGATCCAATTATGTATCCTACAGCACAAAAACAATTCAAGTAGTACTAGATACTTGTTTGTTGAGAGAAGGCTCATTGGTTCCTTAGCTTCTGTTGATAAGGAGGAAATGTTTACTGATATATGCATCGCATGGTGGACTAATATATCCATGTGATAATTAAGGTAATATTAATTAGATGTTGCTCACAAGTTGGCAATACAAAAGGAACAAAAAGTTAAGTTGAATACTTAAATACAGAGGTCAGGGGCTATATCATACATACTACTTCAGTCCTAAATGTAAAACTCAATTTGTAGTGTAATTTATATTGTAAAATGAGTCTTATATTTAATCAAGGGATGCTAGTTAAATCAATGATGCTGGGAAAGCTAGTTCTTTTCTTCATTCTCAGTCAATGAGGTATTCAATCTTTATTAATATCTTTTTTCCCATCCTATCTTGAATTCTTCTTCTCTCATTCTCAGCTCTCAACTGAAGATTTTCTTTTGCTAAGATGCTCTGTTTTCTTTTTCTTTATTAAGACTTTAATGATGAATATATATGTAATTTAATTATACCAGACTTTCTTTCCAGACTTCATGCCTTCGTACCAAACAGAGTAAGCTTCCCCATGAAAAGCTCTTCCCTTTCCCTCTCATTTTTTCCTTTTCCCTTGAAGGAGCTTTCATACGCTACCAAATATGGCTCTGGAGTTTCTTGGGTGGATGAGGATGAAGACTACTAATTATCAATCTAGAAAGCTCTCAAAGCGTTTAATTATTGTTTTCACCTAATGAGAGACATGTGAAAAATTTCTAAACGTTAGACATAGTGGGAGATACACGACTAAAAATTAAAAAGGTGAAGCATGGCTATATAAAATTCATACAGGGAAATGATAGTTGATTTAATAATGACGCATGAATAGGTCAAATTTAGCTAAGTCACTTTAATTAAAGAAACTTCTAAGCTTATCTCCCAAAGTCGTCTTGGGTGAGCTCAAATTAATTAATGCTGGTGTGCCGATGCTTTAACAGATTCTTTTCTCCCTATTGATGGTCACGTGAAACAGTTTAAAACTTAAAATGTTAAACTTTTGCATAGTGGAGAATTATTAATAAAGAAACTATTGAGATATTGTACTACTAAATTGGATCACTATTTATCCTCAACCAGGAATGGTCCATGCAATGAAAATGGAAACCAGTAGTCATCATGAAGATGAGAAAATGAGAGTTCTTTATGAGGCATCACACGAAGGGTGTGTTTTAATCTTAAACACACTAATACAGGAAGACCCACTAATCCTACACGAAATTAACTCAAGAATAATCCTCACTGAAACTCCCTTACACATGTCAGCCTTACTTGGCCACTTTGAATTCACAAAACTCCTTTCTCACAAACCCAAACTTGCCCTTGAGTTTGACTCCTTCCGAAGCACAGCCCTTCACTTAGCTTCTGCTGAAGACCATATCCACATTGTGGAGGAGTTATTGCAAGCTTGTGACCATGCTTGCTTGATCCCTGATCAACAAGGTAGAATTCCATTGCATTATGAAGTTATAAGAGGGAGAACAAATATTGTGCTCGAGCTAATTAGTGCAAAGCCAGAATCACTGTGGATTCTTGACAAGGGGAAAACTGTTTTCCACTTGTCTGTGATGTACAGTCACTTGGAGATTCTTAAGCATTTCCATTCCTGATGTAAGCATTTTCAGTTTCAGTTGCTTATCAATCTAATTCATCACTCAGTGTTATAACCCATTTGAAGGGGTGAGTTCATCACAAATTACCTCAAAACAAGCATATTTGAAGGGAGGCGAAAAGATATTGTTATTTAGGTGCAATTTATGAGAGCAGCATGAAAGCTCTAAGCTCTTTACTTTGAAAAAGAAGAAATACGAACTATAAAAAGGTTAATTTTTTAAATTTATCTATGAAGTATTTCTTCATGTGCACCTAACACTATAAAGTTTTTTTCAATACAAAAGTACACACGAAAGTTCCAAAATCGTGTAAATATGTCATAGCTATATATTAAGTCAACTAATGTTAATTGTTTAGCAAACATGTCGGTCAATAACATAATGCAAAAGTATGTCACGCCCATTAAATCATGTATTGTTAACTAACAAATAGTCCCCATGCACGTTGTACAACATTTTTGCTCTTCTGCACAACGCAATGGTTACGCCTCTCTGGTGCTAGAGCTGTCCGTCTCCTAGCTGCCTGATCTGCCGTCCTTTTCTTTGGTTTCTTCACCATTGATGAATATTATTAAAAGATTTGGACGTGTTGATTTTCATGACAACGGATGAGTCATCCTCGACCCCCTCTTTATCTCTTTCCAGCAAATGACTAATTTATAATAATCGCGCCCCTCGTTACCTCTAATCTAGTTTGTTGTTTAATTTAGGATCGGAGATAGGTTCCCCCCCCCCCCCCTTATTGACCTCAAAAAGAGAGGAACCTTTTTTTTGTACGACGTCAAAAAGAGGAATTTCTTTTTGTTGACCTCGGAAAGCATGAACCCTTGCGCATGCTTTTGGGGAATATATGATAACTTTATAAATGAGCGATGCCTGTCCAGAAGCTATTAGGAGTGAACCTATCCAGAGTGCCATTTGAAGTAAATATATAAATATTTTACATGAAAACGAGTACTCGGAATTGATAGATTATTTTTTTTAAATCTTTTTGGTAATAGATTATCTATATCGAGTAAATAATGCCTCCACTAAGTAATGGCATGTTGTCAAAGCGAAACCAACACCGCTGGGAAAGAGGCTGGGAAAGAGGAGAGGCTCCGGGTCCGGCAAAAGTGTGTTTTTCAGATTTCCTGAGTTAAATAATACTATATGTTAACTAATTTGAAAAAATTAAGTACTAAATTACCTAATTATATATAGCAGGTGTTATATGATCTCTTTAAGATACTTATGTATACCATTAGATTATACATCAATTTATAAGTAACGCAAATTAGTTTTAAAAAAAACAATAAATATAAATATTTTAAAATAATTTAATAACTTTTTTAATTTTTCTAAATTAGCTAACTAGATCTTATATTGATGAAAGGAAATTAGTAATAACAACAACAATAATAATGCCTCCCCAATAAAGTATTAACCTAACAAATATTATTGTTGAGGAGTATAAATTGTGGAGTCCCAGCAACACTGGGTTCAATATATTCTGGAAGCACGTTGTGATTAATAAAGATATAAAAAGAAAGCATAGTAATAAGCATATAATATGTCGCCTCCCAATGATTATATTTAATGGTTTGGTGAATCAATAAAACAAGTAACAACTTGTATAAAAAACAAAACAAAAAACAAATAACAACTTGTATGTTACAGGAAGACGCATGTGGGTGCTTGCTGATATTTAGTAAAACAATCTTGATTTTATATGGACTACTCAAATAAAACCGAAATTAAAGGCAGAACGTTACACCTTTGTGTTTCTAAGTCAAGTGTAACAATTGTGACACCTATGGGTCTCTGTTTTAAGTCAAGTCCAACAATTATACTTTTATAAAATAATTCTCCTTTTTTGTTTTTTTGGGGGGGGGGGGGGGAGGTCGAGTGTCCAATCAACTGCATAAATGTTCAAACTTCAAACCTGCTTCAAACCTTTTTCAAACATGCTTAAATAAGACACTTGAGCTGTCATCTCGAACTCGAACTGTCCCTCCAGTCTCCAATCTCTCCATCCTCCGTCCTCAGTCCTCAGGTCAGTCCTCGGTCCACTCTCTCTCTCTCTCAGCTTCCCTTCTCCCTCCTCACTCCTCAATTCTCACTCAGTCCTAATTTCTGAAATTAGTCCGAACTTGCTTGCCTATACTAACTCCCCTTTCTTGGATATCAATGACCAGGGAAGTTCTCATCCCATGAACGGCAGCGTTTGGGGATGAGCTAGGTACTTCGTTTTTTTATTGCAAATTTATTCCTAATCTTACTTTTCAAATGCAACCAACACTGAATCTTTTTAGTGGTACAATTTTACTTATAATCTTTTTTTGTGTACCAAAGATTAAGGGTAAAG